GTTGATGCTTGGGTAAATATGTCTTCTAACTGTCCTGCAGAGGAAATACACCTGAGACCAGAGGAACAGCCTATGTGGTCTATGAAGACATCTTTGATGCTAAGAATGCATGTGACCATCTATCGGGATTCAACGTGTGTAACAGATATCTCGTGGTTTTGTATTATAATGCTAACCGGGTAAGTACTGCACATTCAAAGCCACACTGGCTCTGGGAAGTGTGTGGTGGGTTCTCTCTGGGCTAGTGTTCCTGATGGACTCCTATAGCCACAGTCATTACCCATTAACTGCTGCTTGTCACACTTACAGGCGTTCCAGAAGATGGACACCAAGAAGAAGGAGGAGCAGCTGAAACTTCTCAAAGAAAAGTATGGCATCAATACAGACCCACCCAAATGAGCTTGGGGATTTCACTTGAATACATCCATGTATGGTCACAATTAACCGTTTTTCTTTTTTAATTAATACTGAATATTGTAATTTACTCATTCGAGACCTAGAATGACTTGTTTGAAATTCTTCTAAGTATTAGAATATATTATGTTAGTAAACTTGTGGCTTTTGTAAAACCTGCCAGTGTTTTCTCTTTTTGGGGGGTGGGAATGGTTCTGTGTAACAGCCTTAGCTGTCCTGAAACTAACTAGTTCTGTAAACCAGGCTGGCCTTGAATTCACAGAGATCATCTTCCTCTATCTCCAGATTGTTGGAATTAAAGACATATGCTACCACTTCCTAGCCAGTTTCTCTTAAACTTCCCACTCCTGTTTAATACCAGGAAAAAAGAAAACAGGAGAACCACGTGCAGGATTGTAGGTGGGCCTAGGGACTGAGGGCATTGAGGACAGTGGCATTTGAGGGTTTTGTTGTTGTTTTTTATATATTTGTTACGAATAAATGTGCTCAAATGTGCATGTGTAGCAGTCAGAATGACCGGTAGGAGTTACTTCTCTTCTACCACGTGGGTCTTGGAGATTAAACCCATGCTTGCTAGCAAATGCCTTTGCCAATCCTAAGCCATCAAAGGAACTGCAGACTTGTCTTTTTGTTTTGGTTTTCTTTTTTTGAGACAGGGTCTTTCCATGTAAACCAGGCTGGTTTCCAAATCACAGAGATCCGCCTACCTCTGCCTCCCAAGTGCTGGGATTAAAGGTGTGCACCACCACACCCAGCCCAGACTTGTCATTTTTAACTAGTAACAACCCATGAGGTAACATGAGGACACCAAAGTTCATGAAAAGCTAGTGTAGTAGATAGCTGTAATCAGAGCACTTGGGAAGCTGAGGCAGGAGGATCACCATGAATTTAAGACCTTCCTAGGCTATATATAGTAAAATCTGGGCCAGTCTCAGCCTGGATTACAGAGTCAGACCCTGTGTTAAAAAGACAAAGGCAGAGACATGAGAGGGCTGGTACAAGAGCTGTAAAGAACCAGCCACCTGTCATTGTGGCAGCCCTTGTCCTGACAGCAGAGGTCATCCTTACAGCAGAGATCTGTCATGGAGGTGATGATTTAGAGGGTAGCATTATGTGATCAAGACTGAACTTACGTAGATTTCCTTGTCATTATTATAATTATAATATATAATTTTAGGGACTTTGCTCACAATATGTCTTTGGCATAAATAAAATGCTTAATCTTATGAGTTTCCATGACATGGAAAGAGTGTAATAATTGTCACATTCATTGTGGCTTGACAGCTTGAAGAAGATAGTTATAAATTTTCTTTTTATAGTTCAAGCACAGGCCAAATGGAGAAGTGTGGGCTGATTGTTTTGTAAACCCAGAAGGCTACACAGACTGACTAGTATTGACAAAGATAACCTGCTTTTAATTGCATTTGAAGTCTGTCATTTTAAGAAATAGACTACTTTCTAGTTTTGTACATAATGATTTATTATGTCTGGGTTTTGGAAGCACTGTAAAAGAAGGAAAGGCCTTTTGTTGTTATTGTTGTGTTTTTTCCAGACAAAGTCTGTGTAACAGCACTGGCTGTCCGGAAACCCACTATGTGGACCATGTTGGCCTCAAACAGAGACTCACTTGCCTATACCTCCTAAGTGCTGGGATTAAAGGTGTGTCCCACCACAGCCAGCAAAAAGCCATTTCTTTTTTTTTTTTTTTAAATAACCTGTTTATTTCATGTATATTCGGCTTTTGCCTGTATGTATATCTGTGTGAGGGTACCAGATCCTCTGAAACTGGAGTTACAGGCAGTTGCTAGTTGCTGTGTGGGTGATGAAATCAAACCCGAGTCCTCTGGAAGAGCAGCCAGTGCTCTTAACCACTGAGCCATCTCTCCAGCCCTGCAAAAATCCCTTTCTGGCTGGGGTGGGTAGTGGAGGAGAGGCAGGCAGATCTCTGTGATGTTAGTTCAAGTCCAGCCTGGTCTACAGAGCAAGTTCTAGGATAACCAAGACTACACAGAGAAACTCTTTCTGGAAAAACAAAACAAAAAAACAAAACCAAAAAAAAAAAAAAGAGAGAGCCCTTTCTAAAAAAGGTGGGCAGATTAAAAAAAGGCCATAGCTGTAATTTTCTTATGAGTGCCTTTATGATTTCTTTAATTCCATAATGTGTGCTGCGGCTTAGATGTCTGCAGATGTAAAGGGTGTTCTGAAAGACCTCTTTGTCTGGGGAAAACTGAAATGAGACTGGCTTAAGAGTGATGTCTCCAAGTGGCAGGGCAGCTCAACTCTAATGGTGATAATAACCAGGACAATTACTTCTATTAGCAGTTATGAACAGGGTCATTTGGATTGTACCTGTTAGCTGAGTTTTGTGACCCAAAGTTAAGAGTTTTAAAACTAGAGCTGGGGATATAGCTCAATGAGAGAGGGCTTTCTGAGCCAGGTGCTGGGTTTGATCCCAGCACTATGGAAAACAAATTCCCTTCTGATTGTTTGAAACTCTGTAATTCAGTTACAGGAACTTAGACAAGAGTGGGACAGACACTGAGCTGCTCTGCAGGAGGTATGTTGTTAAATCTGAAGCTCAAGTTGATGATCGTCTACTGTACCAGGCACATAAAATTCAGGTTTTTGTTGTTGTTGGGCTTTTTTGTTTGTTTTGGTTTTTCGAGACAAGGTTTCTCTGTGTAGCCTTAGCTGTCTGGGAACTCACTCTATAGGCCAGGTTGGTGCCTCAAACTGACAAATTCTCCTGCCTCTGCCTCCCTAGTGCTAGGACTAAAGGTGTGCGCCACCACCACTTGGCAGTTTGAAAACAACTAAAAGGATAATAGATCTTATTATCTACCTGGTCTATGGCTTTCCGACCTCTGGTGGCTCTCTCAAGACACTGTCTAAACTCTTTGGCATATGTTATAATTTGCTGCACCATGCTCCAAAGACTTGAGAAAGCAGTCATTTCTCATCTTACCTGTAAAGCCTGCATATCCCTCAGGTGCTAGCCAATTGGTGTCTGCATTTTAGGGTTTCTTGCTAGCTGTCCTTATATAGCCTCCTGCCACCCAGACCATACTACCATGGACAGATCTTTTGTGTGGACCCATGACTTAGACTTTGTTGTCTCTTCTTTTTTTTTTTTTTTTTTTTTTTTTTTTTTTTTCTCCAAGACAGGGTTTCTCTGTGGCTTTGGAGCCTATCTTAGAACTAGCTCTTGTAGACCAGGCTGGTCTCTAACTCACAGAGATTTGCTTGCCTCTGCCTCCTGAGTGCTGGGATTAAAAGCATGCACCACCACCACCCGGTTTTGGTATCATTTTTGCTCATCCTTCTGGTGCCAACAGCAGAAAGCATGGGTATGTCTTCTATACAGGCTGGGTTCTGAGGAATTATAGGTGTCTGGAGTCATCAAGGAAGCAGGACATTCCAGAGGTGACACCCCAGAGTGAAACGGGTTCAGCATCCTTTGACTACTATGGTCCCATAGGCTGGCTGGATGAGTTAAAGCAAGGCAGTCCCTTTTCCATTCATGGTTGCTTTCAATGCACCACCTTTTCATGAACCCCTCAGCCTCTGCACAGGAATTCATGCATGACTTCCTGGAGATAAGAGGTAGAGAAAGTAGCCTAGATGGTGGCCCCATATCATACATAGGATGCTACATGGTGTGCATCAGTGGATCTTCAATCCCAACACTTGGGAGACAGAGACAGACAGTTCTCTGTTAGTTCGAAAGTTTAAGACCAGCCTGCGCTACACCGTAAAATCCACTCTCAAATAAAAAGAGATAGGTAGAGAAGTAAATAAACAAGCCTGGCAGTGGTGGCACATACCTTTGATCCCAGCATTTGGGAGGCAGAGGTGGGCCTGGTCTACAGAGTGAGTTCCAGTTCCAAAGCTACAGAGAAATCCTGTCTACAAAACAAAACAATAATAATAATAAATAAACAAGATGGATGGCCCCTGAGGATTAACAGGTTATCCCCTGGCCTCCATATGCACACATGTAGGCACATACACATTCTATTACATTGTTCTCAAAAGTAACTCTTCAAGGTGGGCTAGAGCAAACCTAGATGCAACTTAGTGGTGTCTATGGAAACAAACCTCGGACCCACTCATTCTCTACCCAGAGTGAGTCTAAGGTCTCAAGCCTTTAACACATTCATTTGCTCAGATGCAGTTTCCATCTGGTGAGGGAAGCTTACCCTCACTCTCTGCAAACAGATGAAGTTTCAGGATCACCTTAGGAGATCAGATCCCATTTGGGATTGCTAGGATGCTGGGGTTATGCAGTAAACTCTGAGCTGGTGAGTTTAGTAGGGTAGTAGCTAACTTGTAAAGTTTCTTGTGATCATTTTATTTTAGAAGGAAAGCTAGAGCTGGGTGGTATACATCTGTAAATCCCAGCAGTCAGGAGGCTGAAGGAGTTCTAGATCAGCTTGGGCTCTGAGACCCTGTCTCAAAACAAAATAAGACCAAAAGGATATGGAACAAGGTCCAGCATGAACAGTCCTGTGAGCAAACTACTAGGTGCCTTTGTCACCAAGGGCAGTTGGCTTATGTGTCATTAAAGAACTTCCCACAACAGGATGGACAGGAAGATGCCAAGCATGGAGCCTTTATTTTACATAGTATTTCCAAAGAGGGCCTGCTGAAAGTGGGCAGCCAACAGAAGATAAGAAAGTGACAGCAAAGGTAACTGGCTCAAGTCCCTTTGTGGAACCATGTACAGCACATGTCTGAGCACCTTGTGTGTCTGGCTTAAGTGCAGCTAAGGCAATATAGATTGTGCAAACAAGATCTGTGTCCTCTGATCAGGAATGGCTAGTACATGCATTACACAAAATGCACAACCTGACATGTCTGGATCTGTAACTAAATTTCCTCAAGCAAAGACATATGGGAACAATTAAGTGGGGGACACATACAGAGCCACGTCGGGCAGAAAGAATGGATAACATTGAGGGGCAGTGAGGTCAGCACACTGATCAAGAGCCCTGCATAGGAGGAGCCGTCCCAGTGGCAGCGCAGGCTAGGACAGAGCAGGCGCCATCTCCGGCCACCTCGAGTTCCTTCCTGCCTTCACTCTAAGTTGAGCAGCTCCACGTCAAAGATGAGGGTAGCATTGGGTGGGATGACACCAGGGTGGCCAGTAGCTCCATATGCCACATCAGGGGTGCAGGTCAGCTTCGCCCTCTGCCCCAAGCTCATCTAGCAGGGATGGGGGCAGGTGGGGAGAGGAGAAAGAGGACCCAGCTTGATTTAAAAGAAAAAAGTAAGATAACTATGGCATTTTCCCCAAAACATTTAGGATAATTCCAGATCTGAGATTAATTTTGTACATGGCTCACTAAAGTGAGGCTAAGAGCTTAAACATGCAGATTTTGCCTCAAAGTAGACTCAACTATGGGGCAGTTAGCAGCCACAAAGTAGTCCCAGATTCATTTAAACATTGGACATTACTGGTTATCCAGCTAGTGCATGGCCGGAACACTGCTTGCTCATAATTGTTTTTGGTTCTCTTCTAAGTAGCCAAAGAAGAATGTGTAAACAGCATCGAACACACTTGTAACAGGATCAGTTAAGATTCAGTGACTAATGGCCACAGCAAGGCAGCAAAAGCAAAGCTCTGGGAGTGGGGCATCCTATGACATCCCCAACAAACTGAGGGACAGCTGGGACCAAAGCTTATCAGCCCACTGGAGCTGTTAAGTTCCAAACAATTCCAAAAATTAGAGTTGACTGGTTAGTATTGTATCAGTACTAATGTTGTAGCTGAATCACTGTTATATAGATTAACATTTGAAGAAGGGTGAAAATTATATGGGAGCTCTGCTGTTTCTGTAATATTTTTATGTCTGAAATAGCTTCAAAAAGCGTTTAAAAGCAAAAACTTCTTGGCTTATCCATCTCTAACTCTTCTGTTGTCTTACCTCAGACAGCTTGTTAACCATTTTTTCAACTCACTCAGGCAAGTAAGTCTAGGAGAGATGCTTGGGTAGAGACACAGAAGTGCCAGCCACAGAAGAGGTGAGGGGCAGAACCAAGAGTGAGCACTAGGTGGCGTCGCTGTACCCTGGCGGTAGTCATGGCAGTGTGCCATCTGTGCTATGGTGGGTGAGTGGAGGACCAGAACCCACCAGTCCTTAAACCCCTTCATTGAGCATCCTCAGCCTACCTGGGAAGTGCCTTCTTCAAAACCTTTGATGACTTCCTGTTTGCCAATTCTGAACTTGAAAGGTTTGTTTCTATCTCTGGATGAATCGAATTTCTTGCCATTTTGGAGCATTCCTAGCAGAGTGAGAAGAGGGTAGAAAAGAGTGAACTAACAACTATCTAATGGAATTCTTCTTCCGAAGGGTCCCTCCTCATCAGCAGGAAACCTGGACCCATCATCACTCTGCCTTACCTCCACAGGCAGCCTGTCATCAAGTCCTATATCTCTTTGGCATCCACCTATGTTTTCAGTTTCTGCTGCTGCCCTGACTCTGTGGCCTCCCCAGTTACCGCCATGTCTCACCTGTAGACAAGAACATCCTCCCAAACAGTGTTATACTCACCAATTTTCCACTCATTACATCAACAGATTCCCCCCACCCCCTGCTTTAAATTCTGGTCATGTTTACTTCCCTGCTTAGAACACAACAGCTCCAAGAGCAGAATCCAAAAGCCTGAGGCTAATGATGCCTCTCTCCCTCATTCCTCCTCTCCCTCCCTCTTCAGAGCCCACCATTCTCAAGTTCCTCTACACTTCTAGACTTTCCATGCAACATCCTTAGGCATTCTAGTCTCAGGTTCAGTCCTTTCCTAAGGTCCTCAGAATTTCCTGAAAATGCAAAGACTAAGATCAGACTATATCACATCATCCCCTACTCCAGTGAAAGTACAAGGTGATTTGGGCATGCTGGTAGCTTACAGCTCATGTACAAACAGTTGTTTTATCCTGGAACACCCCGCTGTGATTTCTGGCAGTTTGGATCATCCTTTACCTTCTCGCTGCAGGTGCCCATTCACCTCTGACATCCAAATGTTGTGACTCCAAAGATCTGGAGTTGTTGGACTATTTCTAGTACTTATTGGTACTCTTGCCCAAAGACCACAGTTTCTTCTTAAATTTTCATCTTACTTTACATGTACAGATGTTTGCCTGCATGTATGCCTGGGTAGTATATAAGTGCCTGCTACCCTTGGAAGCCAGAAAATGGTTTCAGATACTCAGGAACTAGAATTACAGATGAATGTGGGGCACCATGTAAGTGCTGAGAATTGAATCTAGGTCCTCTGGGAGAGCAGCCAGTGCTCTTAACTAACCATAGGGCCAGCTCTCTAGCTCCACTCAATTATCTGAATACCATGCTATTCCAAGATTTCTGTAGATTATTTAGGACCATAGGAAGACCTGGCTTGTTAAGTCCAGAAACTGAGTTCTTACTGTTCTGAGATTTTGTTTTCTTCCAACGGGTTCTTTCCTATTCTGTAACAAGGCTGGCCTGGAATTCAATATGTAGCTCTGGTTGGTCTCTAACTTCTAGGAGTTTCCAAGTGCTGAATCTCAGGTGTAAGGCAGCTGACAGCAGGTTTTTACTTCAGTTTAGCACCGAATCTATGTGCTATTGGGGAGCTGGGCCTTATATTTTCCATATTCAATACAGGAGGCTTTGCCAGCTTACAAGTGTCTGAGCAGCTACAGTTTTTCTTCTGAATTCCTACACTTGAAATGTGTACTAGAGAGTCCTATTTACCTACCTTCTGGGTAGGTTGGGCTCCTGCCCTGAGTCTAAATGTGGTAAAGAAGAAACCCTTCTGGCTACCCAGAGATGCACACAGATGGATGCCACAGAGCTCACACACAAATACATGCAGATACACAGTTGGTAAGATATTCACATTCACAGAGATATTTTGCATACTCACATGCACTTACACATAGACACTCAGGAAAGAAGCCCCGATGGCCAAGCAGATGCTAAGAAAATATTTAGATAGACAGACGTACATATAATCACACAGACATGCACTTGGACAAACACATGCTTGAGTGTGTGCATGTGCAGAGTCCATTTATAGACTAGCTTTCTCATTTCCCCAATGCCTTCAGGTTTCATAAGGCTGAATCCATTTGGAACCATGTGATAGTTACCTGTTGCTGTGAGCTCAGCCAAAGCCACATAATCCAGACACAGACCCACATAAATATGTTTACTTCTTCTACAAAGATGCCATTGTAATACATCAAATAAAGGATGACTTTTTGGATTAACATTGCTGGAACAAATCTATAACCACATGAGGGAAAACTTTGAACTTCAGCCTCTACCACCTCCACATTCAAAAAACAATTCCAGATGAACCATAGACCTAAATATAAAAGATAATAAAACCTCAGGCTTGGGATGCAGTATAGTGGTGGAGTACTTCACTGTATGTATAAAATTTCTAGGTTCGATTCTCAGCGCCATGAAATACTGCTCATAGCTTCTACAAAGTAGTTGGGCATGATGGTGCACACCTGTAATCCCAACACTCAGGTGGAGTCACGAGGATTAGGAGTTCAAGGCCAGATTTGAAGCCAACCAGAATCACATGAGATCCTGTCTCAATTTTTTTTTTAAAAAAAGGCAATTGAAAAAAAGAAAAACACCAACAACAATCGCATTTTATGAGGTGAATATGAATAAATGAATATTTTCATAATATAGTGAAAGATTTCTTGAAGTGAACACAGAAAAACTATGTAACCATCAAGAAGACTGATAAGTATGACATCATGAAAATTAAGCACTTCTGCTCAAATGCTCAAAAGATAACTATTGAAAGATTAACGGCAAGGCTGGAGAGATGGCTCAGTGGTTAAGAGCACTTTGCCGCTCTTGCAGAGGTCTTTGGTTTGATGCCCAGCACACACACACAACAGCTCACAACAATTTGTAATTTTAGTTTTCAGAGGCGTCAATGTCCTCTTTACACCTGCAGGGACCAAACACACAAACTCACCATGTAGCCAAGGTTCACCTTGAACTTTTGATTCTCTTGTCCCCGCCTCCCAAATGTGGCTATTATAGGTGTGGGCCACCAGAGCCAGCATATATATTTTTTATGTTATGTTTGCCAGAAGTTCCATACATACAGTCTCCTACTATGTTTGGTAAGGCAGTTTCTCCCAAAGCAGAGCCATTTGTAGCTAATGTAAGTGTTTAATGCACACTGACTACTCTGTGTATATACTTTGTAAAAAGATGTTTGGTTTAACTAAGTTGATCAACAATGGTCTGTCCACAAACATGTGGGACAGATAAATCAATTATCCTGGTCAGAGGCCCCAGGGTAATTAAGCCACATCACCAGAAGATAAAACAGTCTTGGTGTGCTGACATCAGTGACTGGAGATACAACAGCCATGTCATCTGCTAGAGCCAGTCTGGTGTTTCACACTGGCCTAGAGAACTGCTAAAAACAGCCCCATCTGAATATGTCCCAGGAATTAAGCTGGTCTTGCTGTATGCTAAATGACTGTCACCCATAGAGGTTGCCTCATTAGGAATGGAGTCACAAGGCAGAGTCCTCACACCTCTTAGAGCAAACACCTGCCAGTAACCCTCCTGCCAGCAGTCCTAAAGTTCCTGGAGGTTGTGGGGAGGGGGAAGCACTTGTTTTTCCAAAGCATCCAAGTCTAGTTCCCAGCACCCACACAGTGGATCACAAATATCCATAACTCCAGTACCAGGGGCTCTGACACCTTCTTTCCTCCAGGGGTACCAGGCACATATGTGGCGCACACACACACATTCATGCAGCCAAAACATCCATACACATAAAATAAATATAGAATGCCCCTTGGTCCATGGACCTTCAAACACACAGCATCCAAGAAGAGACAGCAGAGATATGGCACCCTCCTCTGGATTCTCCCAGAACCTGGAAACAGTATTGCCACCATCCCTATCCCTGTCACAGTAGTGGAGCAAGGAGGTGTGAACAAAAGAAGAAACACAGGGTGAAAGGGGGATTCTAAGGGTGCTCAGATCTTTCAGAATAAGATTGAAACATCAGATGTGAGCAGGAAGGCCAGAATACAATGGAACTGGAGGTGTTTGATTCATAGATAGTCTTGGTGGGAAAAGTAAAACTGGTCACAGGAAACTGCCTTGGGCTTTGAGGACAATCCAGGGATAAGACCCTCTGGAGAGAAACTTATGGGATACCCTGCCTTGGGAGAGGCAGGCCTGGACCAGGGCTGAGGGAGTGAGACATACCTGTGTAGTGTACCACGCATATCTGACCCTTCTTGGGGAATGTCCTTCCTGGTGGGAGATAGGAAGGCAGATAAAGATTAGGGAATTAGAAAAAACTCACCTGACACATCAACCCTGATTAGATCTCTTTCACTCATTACCACAGAGCTGCCTGTCTCTGTGCCTTGGATGAGTCAGGAGTAATAATGTCTCCTTTCTGGTTTGTATTTGGACTTTATGTTATTGGTCCAATTTACTAGGGAAAAAAAAACAAAACACTTTTTACTGCTCAGTTTACTTTCCTCTATTCTATAACCTTTCATTAATAGCCTACATCATACCAGACCTGAAGTAGATTCCAGAGACAGAGAGCAATATGTGAACCCATGGAGAAGCAGAAACATAAATCCCCAATTGCTAGAGTCATGAGTGCCATCAAGGATGAACAAATGTAATCATTCACAAGCAATCCATAATGACCAGACCGGTGTCTCGTGCCAGGGTTATAGCAGAGAACAATAAAGACAGTTTCCCTGGTCTTCTGGGGTTTGTATCCTTTCTTTTGTGTATGTGGGATGAAATGTGGGGTGGGGGTGTTGCATGTTTGTGTGTAAGTGTGTGTTGCATGCATGTATGTACCCAGGTGCACATGCCCATGAACTTGTATGCAAGAGGCCAGAGAAACACATTGAGTGCCTTCCTCAATCCCCCTTGAACTTATTTCCTTGAGATAGAGACAGTTACTGAACCAGAAGCTTTGCCATGGAACTCCCAGGATCTGCCCATTTCTCCTCCTAGTGCTGGAGTCTCAGGCATTTGCAGTCACACCCAGCTTTTTTTAGATGAGTGATGAAGATTCAAACTCAAGTCTTCCATGTATGCATAGCTAGAGCTCTTACCCATTGGGCCATCTCCCCAGTTTACATTCTAAAGGAGGGAGACAAACAATGCTCATATAAATAATTACAGACGGTTATAAGACCTCTAAAAAAATTAACATGCTGATGAGCCAGCAATTTCAGAAAGGGTGTTCCAGGAAGGCATTTTTGAAAAGGTGATGTTTGCACTGGTACTTTAGGAAGGAATCAGCTCAAAGACCATGCAGCAGGAAGGGGTTGCTGTATTTTCAGAACAGAAGGGAACAGAGTGAGAGGGAGGAGAGGAATATGAAAGAGGCACACCACACAGCTTGCAAAAATGGGTTTTACACTAAGTGCAATTGGAAACCACTGAAGGGTTTAAAAGCAAGAGAATGACCTAATCCGAATTAAGATTTTATAAGATCACTCTGGCTGCTGCACATTGAGATGGGTTGTTAGGCATCTGTTGTGATGATCTAGACAAGAAATCAATGACGGCATGAATTAAGGTAGTGGCAGCAGAGAAGAGAAGCAAGGCTGACAAGGGCATGCAAATGATGGGGCCCACCACCCACCTCACCACCAGATTAGAGGAAAGGAGAACACTTCGATGTTCAAATTTGGGGATTGGGTAACTGGAAGGTGGCAGAGCTGTTTTTGGAGATGAGAAAACTGGAAAGGGACAGATTTGTGAGGGTGGCAATCTCAAGCTGCCTATTAGACATGCAAGTTTTTACTGCAAGAAGGTAGATCCAGAGCCAACACTGAATAAACAAATTGGGTAGAATAGAAAGTCATGAGGCTGGATTATGATAGTGGGCAGTAGGAGCCTACCAAAGGGATCGAGACAAAGCATCATGGGAAATAGTTAAATTAGATGTTAAAGGATGAATAGGGGTCTGTTTGGAGAAGTAAAGGGCTCTGGGAAACAGAATGACTTGTAAGACATTTTCAAATGCCTGGAATCCATTGTTGGAATGTAGCTCAACATACAGCAGTTACCTATCATTCCACAAGGCCCTGGGTTCTACCCAAAGCATAGAAAGCCTTATGGTCCTACAGTCTAGTCACAGGGGAGCCCCTGGTTTCACCCTGTTACCCTATGTGCTGGGGTCCAGCACACAGTACATGTTCCATAAACATTTGCTAAATGAGATGTGTATTTAACAAGTTGCTGGTGGCTTGGTGAAGTTGGTCGTGGGTTCAGGCGTTGTAGTGAAAGAGGATCTGCTGGTGTGGGTCAGTGTGAATCACTATCAACCTATCTATCACCAAAGGGGAAAACTGCTTGCAGAAGTAGGGTGAAGCATCTCTTAATTTTCTGCCTGAGGGAGAGGCCCGTTAAGGTCCACATTTGAAAAGGAGACAGGTGGGAAAATGAGGGGAGTGAGAATAGAAGTCAAATGGAAGACAGGGAGATGAGAATGAAGACGACAGAGAGACCACTGTGAGCACCAAAGTTCTTTGCATGAACAGAGAAAACTGTACTTCAAGGAGTGACCTGGGTAGTAGCTTGTATTTCCAAGAACCCCTCGTTTTGTAACCAAAAGCCCTTTAATTTCTTTGGGAGAAGCATGCCAGTATCTACCAGCAAGTTTGCTTGTTAAACACTGTTGACCTGGTGTAGTGAGATAGTCCATCCTCATTTAACCGCGATAACCTGGGGTGCTGCTTTGGGGTAAATTTGCTTAAGAAATGACTACTCCTTGAATATCTACACCCAGTTTTCTAAGTAGTTGAAAAAACTCGCCCTGTCTCTCTTGACAGCAAACAGGGAACCCACAGAAAAACTTGTGGGGTGAACAAAGTTAGAGAACATGTTTTGGACTGGCTGAGGCACCCTGGGCTGTTCAGACAGGTCAAGCAGCAGGTCCGAGGACTGGGTTTTGAGATTTGACTTTGGAGGACATGGTAATGGGCAGATGGCCAGGCAGCCTGAGTGGGACCCGGAGGATGAAATAAAAATCAAAAGCAGCCAAAGGAGTGGCAGGCTCCCAAATTGGCTCTCTCTACAGCTTATGCTGCCCAACCCTGGGGACCGCCAGACAAGACGGCTGGAGGGTGGGGCGCGTTAGGATGGATTTCCTGTGCAGGGTCCCCCCTATACGAGTCCATCCTTGGTATCGGACAGGAAAAATGTAGCTGAAATTCGAACCTGGGAAGTCAGCAGCAGCAGATAATCCAGAGGTTGAAGCTAAAGCGACATAAACTGCAGCCTTGGACAGTAACCAGACGCAGACCCCTGGCCCCAAGGTGGCCGCCTTCACTCCCCAAGGTGAGCCGGCGCAGAAAGGGGTGATGGAGAATTGTCCTCTAGAACCTCCAAGAATCGGGGTGGGGGGTCTCCTCCTAAAGCGCGCATCTCTCCCCGACCCCCATCCCCCATTCCTTTTCAGGTCCCCGGAGCCACCTCTGAATCAGACCTCAGCCCGCGGACTCCGCCCCGGGACCCCTCCTCCTCCCGGGCCCCGCCGCCCGGTACCGTCTCCCGGGGAGATGGTCTCGATCTCCACGCCCATCGCGGTCCCACAGGCCCCGCCTTCAGGGGGTCCTCACGGCTGCCCCGACCCCGGCTCAGCTCAGGCCCGACCCCGCAGGCACTCGGGCTCGCCTTCTTGCCGCCACTGCAGAGCCGGAGGAGGTGCGGCTGGAGTCAGGACCTGCGCGGGGAGGGGCCGCCGAGAAGGGGGCGACGGGGTGGAGCCGCGCGACAAGGTGGGGTCGGCCGGGGCGGGGCCCGGGGGAAGCGACCCTGACGTGGCTGCTCCGGAGCCTGACCAGACTAACCACCGTTAACCCCCCGTCCGAGGGAAGAGGGTGGTGAACGAGGCGTGCCGGCAGTAGCGCATCCACACATCCATCCACCCATCCATCCATCTATCGGTTCAAAGTATATTAATTTAGCACACATCCGGTGCAAAGCTCCAGGGAGTCCACTCAGTCCTACAGACTAGGAGGAGAAAGCCGGTAATTAAACTAACACTTTAAATATATGTGCTCAGTGCCATGAGGTTTAGAGTACAGCGGAAGCACCTGAGACTGATACCTAACCCTGGCTAGGCTTCCCGAATCTTCAGGAGCAGAGCGGGGGATGGGGGTAGGGGTAGAGAAACCAACTATTGATGATTCCACCCCACCCCAAACACCTTCAGCCCATATTCATTATCCCTCAAAGTTCTGCGTCAGGTATTATTGGGGTCTCACTTTTCAAGGCAAAGGACTGCTCCCTGAGGATTCCAATTGAATTAAAGCAGCATCGCTGTGCTGCGGGTCCTACCTGAGGATATATCTACAGCCTGGAGTGGTGGGTGCTGCTGAAGGAATGAATGAATTCCTTTACCTCTATCCAAAAAAGACAGGAATCTAGAAAGACACTTTTGTCCTTCCTGGATCCTCTGCCTCTGTGGTGCTGGGAATTGAACCCAGGGAAAGAGCCTCTACACACAATCTAAGCTAATAGAGGCTACATCCACAGTTCAGAGGAGGTAGCGTTTGCTTGAAGGCTGGAGGACACTTTCAGAACGTGTCTTCACCCTTTCTACATCGCTGCAAAAATCCGCATGTTGCTTCTGACAAGAGACGACTGCGAGGTATGGTAGAAAAACCTATTCAAAGGCCCAGAATTGGAACTTAAGGCGTTTTCCTCAGTTTCTCCACTCCACCCTTCCAGGTGACTAAGTCGCAGGTGAGGTTGTCCACGAAAGAGAACTGGGGTTGGCGCTCAGGAAAGATGGTTTACCTTACAGTGCATGTCAGGACCTGAGAAAGCCCGCGGGCGTGGCCTAGAGTCTTTACGGCTGCAGAAGATTGAGACTTCCAACCCTATTGGCTATGGCCTCGGGCAGGTGCTGTTTGATTAGGGGTAGAACAAATCTGCCAGTTGGGCAGGCCTAGGAAGTGGCTTCAGGTGAATGGGTGCTATTTACATTTTGGGAGCGATATTCTACGCGATTTTAATAGGAAGTCCCTGACTCCCCGCTCCCAAACTAAAACCAATTGACTCATGTTGACCCTAGGACTCCGCTTCTTACCAAACTCTTCTAAGAGAATGGACGAGACGTGCGTGGGAGAAGAGGTTGAAGTGCTTGAGACTGAGTATGATTTACCGGCGGTGGTCTCACGGGAACTACAACTCCCAGAAACCAGTGCGGCAAAATCGCTCGCCTACTGGCTAGCGGAAGGACCAGCCGCTAACGTGACGCACCCAATCGCCAATAGTCTAGAGGCATTGCGGAGGATCGAGGGCCGTGGCTTCCGTTAGTTGCCCCGGACTTCTGACCCGCGGTGCTGTGACGCGAGCGGACCCCGGGATTTTATGTGTGGGGTGGGGAGGCAGAGAGACCAAGGTATTTTGTGCCTTTTGCGGCCTGGCCTGGTAGGTGTAGGGAGGCTGGGGCTGGGCCGGGAGGTGGAGGGCATGTAAGGCCCAGGGATGCATGCGTGGGGATGAAGGAGTTGAGGAGTATGCGGAGGATGGAGTATGAGGGACAGTAGGTTGAGGACCAGGCTGGTGTGGATTTTTAACAAGGGAATGTATCCCTTGGGACTCATGAATGCTACTTCTGGTAATGTAGCCTAAAGAATATAGCCTTAATAGAGTAAAGTCGCCTACGAACTTTGAGGTGTCTCAGCAAACCGAACTAAGAAGTTCTATCACAAATCACAGTAGCTGAGTTTAATTACAGAAGGCTCTGTAACCGGTTAATCAGTTAAGCTGTAGCCAAAACGTTGTCTCGGTCTCACTTCTCTCATCCTTTTGGGGAGGCAGAGGGTTTCTACTTGTTGCTGTTTTTGTTTTGTTTGGGTCTTGTTGAGGCTGGGTATCGATTTGCAGCCTGTGCTAGCTTGAAACTCAATGGCCAGACTGACCTCAGACTCGAGGCAGCGTTTGTGTACGCACATGCACTTGCTTTGGGACATAGTTGAAAGTCATAAGATAACTTTTATGAATTGGTTCTTTCCTGCCGTCCTGTGAGATCCAGGGATTGAACTCAAGTATCACTCAGGCTTGTGCACAAGCCCCTATTAACTGCTGGGCCATCTTGCTGGCTTTCTGAGTTTTTGTTTTGTTTTTTAAATGACGAGATTTTTTTGTTTTGTTTTTCGAGACACGGTTTCTCTGTATTGCTTTGGAGGCTGTCCTGGAACTCGCTTTGTAGGCCAGGCTGGCCTCAAACTCCCAGAGATCTGACTGCCTCCTTTAGACAAAGTGACGAAGTTACAAAAGATATATTTGTAGCAAATAATAAATTCCTTAATGTCTTGTTAATACCTTTTCAAAGAACTTTATTATCCTTAATTGAACTGAGGGTAGAGCATTCAAGGCTGAAACTCTACCAATGACCCACATAACTCAGGTCTAGAGGATGTTTTTATATGCTGAAGATGTGTGTATGAAGATTTACCGGCGGTGGTCTCACGGGAACTACAACTCCCATCAAGTTGGTGAATAGAAAATGGAAATTAGATAATAGACTTTACTCTTTTTGAAAAGATTTATTAAGTACACAGTGTTCTTACTGCATGTATGCCTGTTGTCCAGAAGAGGCTACCAGATCTCATTACAGATAATTGTGAGCTACCATGTGGTCTTGGGAATTGTGCCCAGAACCTCTGGAAGAGCAACTAGTGCTCTTAACCACTGAGCCATCTCTCCAGCTCAATAATATACTTTCCTTAAGTTTTAATTTTTAATTAAAAATATTCTAACTTGAAAGTACTGTAAATAGCTGGATATGGCACTCACATCTTTAACCCCAGCACTTAGAAGGTTAGGTAGAAGGATCATCAAAAATGAGCCCATGCTGGGCTACATAGTAAGCTCCAGGTGATCTCAAACAATCAAATAAAGCTGGGTGATGGTGGTGGCACATGCCCTTAATTCCATCAACAGGAGGCAGAGGCAGTCGGATGAGTTCAAGGCCAGCCTGATCTACAAAGCTACACAGAGAAACTCTGTCTGCAAAAACAAAACAAAAAAAGCAGTCAAGTAAAAGATAGGGACTGGCAAGACTGTTTGGTGGGTAATGGTGTTTACCACCAAGCCTGACTTTGATTCCAGAGCCCATATAGTAGAGGGAAAAAAATGTATTTGCCAAGTTGTCCAGTGACCTCTGTATACTTGAGCATGTACACACATACATAAACTAAGAGCAGTAAATGAGTTTTTTAAAGAATTAAAAAAGACAGGCTGTGGTTGTTCTTACTTTTAATCCCAGCACTCAGGAGTCAGAGGGAGGCAGTTCTCTATTAGTCTGAGGCCAGCCTGATCTACAGAGGGAGTTCCAGGACAGCCAAGGCTACACAGAGACCTGTCTTAATGCCACCAACCCCCCAAAAAGAAGTTCAGTGGTTTACAGCCCTTGTTTCTCTGACAGAGGACTTGGGTTTGGTTCCACTCTCCACGTGATGGTTTACAACCATCTGTAGCTCCAGTTCCAAAGGATCTGATACCTTTCGACCAAGATGCTAGGCACACACAGTACATCTGTGTACATGCAGGCAAATGCTCAGACACATAAAAATAAATATATCTAAAAAAATTAAAAATAGAGAAAGAGAAAGGAAGTAAAGAAAAAGAACTATAAATAACCAGGATAAACTCTAAATCTAAAATTCAATGGTGTGTGTGTGTGTGTGTGTGTGTGTACGTACATGTACACTTTAAAAACAAACTTTTTTATTATTAAGTGCACTGTTCTGCCAGCACGTATACCTGCATGTTAGAAGAGGGCATCAGATCTCATTATAGATGGTTGTGAGTCACCATATGGTTACTGGACCTCTGGAAAAACAGGCAGTGCTCTTAACCTCTGAGCCATCTCTCCAGCCCCGTGTGTGTGTGTGTGTGTGTGTGTGTGTGTGTGTGTGTGTGTGTGTGTTTTGAACTAGGGTCTCACTGTTATTGTCTGGCCTGTAACTCACAGTGTAGACCTGGATTAAAATTGTGCACCACCATAGTGGGCAATTTGGCTGTATTTTTAACAGTTCCACATATTAATTACTTTTGTTTATTTGTTTGTTTTTCAAGACAGGGTTTCTCTGTGTAGCTTTGGAGCCTGTCCTAGAACTAGCTTTTGTAGACCAGGCTAGTCTACAGGCAGCTAGATCTGCCTACCTCTGCCTCCCAAGTGCTGGGACTGAAGGCATGCCCCACCACTGCCCAGCCATATTAATTATTTTTTTTATGTCATGCCAGGGTTTTAAGCTATAGCCTCACACATGCTAAACATATGCTCTGTCATTGAGCTATGTCTCCAGCTCAATATCTTCTAATATCCATTTCATATTCAAACTTCCCCAGTTCTAACAATACTCCATTCTTTTTGTCCCTCCTCCCAAATGCTTCTTTCTTGATAGAAAGTTATTTCATGGTGTTCCTCACTCTGCTTACTTTGGCATAAAACTCTCATAATTTACAAGTTGCTCTCCTGTGTCCCAACAGCCTATTGGGTCCCAGCCTATTGTGAAGTCTAACTTCTGCATTTGCTTGACTTTTCTTTCAGAGTGTAGCGCCCCCCCCCCCAACTTTAAGACAGGGTCTCTCCCATTCTACAGAATTAGCTGGCCTGGAACTCACTATGTGGATCAAGTTGGTCTTACAGGGATTCTCCTTCCTCAGCCTTCTGAGGGTGCTGGCATTAACTTCATGTAACACCGTGCCCTTTTGTAACTTTCCTTCTTCATGGTTTCAGATAGCCTTTATGAGAAAGGATGGAGCTGGGAAACGGAAAACTCCTCAGGACTGGACTGAACTCACTGAGTCAGGCAGTGCACCCAACCCATGGCCTGGCCTGGACTGATGGCAGTCGGGTAGTTCTGACTGATTTACAGCTTCGTAATGGAGAGGCCAAGTTTGGGGACTCCCAAGTCATTGGGAAATTTGAATATGTCTGTGGGGTTTCCTGGGCCCCACTCAGTACAGCTCACATACCCACTCTGCTTGCCATCCAGCACAAGAAGCATGTTGCTGTGTGGCAATTATGTCCCAGCATTTCAGGATCGAGCAAATGGCTGCTGTCTCAGACCTCTGAAATCAGAGAGTCACTCCCTATCCTGCCTCAGGGCTGCGTGTGGCACCCAAAAGATGCTGTCCTGACTGTGTTAACGGCACAGGGTGCTTCTGTTTTTCCTAATGTTCACCGAGACAGTTCCAGAGTAAAAGTGGACATCAGCACCAAGGGCCGAATTTATTGTGCATGTTGGACCCTGGATGGCCAGAGGCTGGTGGTGGGTATAGACAGCAGCCTTCATTCATATATGTGGGACAGTTCTCAGAAGTCTCTTCTCAGCTGCTCCTCCTGTCCAGTGTTTCATGTGAACCGCTCCATCCGGTCCATCATAGCCACTGTGGACTCACAGGTCGCTATAGCCACCGAGCTCCCACTCCATAAGCTTTGCAGCTTAAATGCGTCAGAAGCCTTTGATGGTCTACCTGACGGGAACAATGCTAGTGTAGGAACTCTTCCTAGGGGTGAAATGCTCCCTGGGGAACTGAATTCTGGAGTGACAGTTTCTCCCTCTTCAGATCCTCTGGATCTGACTCACATACATTTCAACCAATGTTCAGCCGGGGAGGGCTCTCTTATGTGTGTAAGTAAAAAGGACTGCTTGACAGGAACTGGCCAGGATTCTTCACATTTGGTCCTGGTAACCTTTAAGAAAGCAATTACCATGACAAAAAAGGTTGCCATTCCAGGCATTCTGGTTCCTGATTTGATAGCATTTAACTTGAAAGCACAGCTAGTGGCTGTGGCTTCCAATACCTGTAACGTTATTCTGATCTATTCAGTCATTCCATCTTCTATGCCAAACATTCAGCAAATTCAGTTAGAGAGTAATGAAAGACCAAAAGGCATATGTTTCTTGACAGACAGATTATTATTAATTTCCGTAGGGAAACCAAAGCCCACTGAGACAGCATTTCTTCCTTCCTCAGAGTCTGATCAGTACACCGTTCGCCTGGTAGTTAGAGAAATAACGTTGGCTAGAGAAGCTTCTGGAATGCCTGCTGAAAGTCATGGTGCTTACTCTGCCTTCAACACCCTATTGAATAAAGCAGACAGAGAAAAGTTCCTTGAGAGCCTTTCCCCCAGGTTGAGTCCCCTGAGCCAAGGACTCTTACTTACAGATAATGCCAATACTCAAAGTGAGAGCTCTGAAAGAGCCCTTATTCAAGAGATTAAAAGTCCCTCACCCCCTCCATCCAGTGCCTCCATTGTACAGGAAACCCCTCAGAGGCCCACCTGGCTTTGGCCAGCATTGCCTAGACCCAGTGGGACAACAGACCACACCAGCACCCCTGAACCGAATTTACCTCAAAGGGAGAACTTCCAACAAGAAAAGGAAACTTGCCCGCCCTCCAGGGAGCTGGACATCTTATCTAGGCACCTGATTGGGATGCAGCAGTGTCTTCTTGAACTCAGGGATTTTCTACACAAGGAGAAGCCGTTCTCTCCAGCATACCCCCTCTCTCAGGATCCTCCCTGTGTTCACCTTATTTACCAGGTAATGTCTCATTTGAGGGACTTCCACAGACCAGCTGTCCAGTTAGTTCCATTGTAACACTGTTTGCCAAGTACTTATGAAGACACTATTTCAAATAATAGTCCTAAGTAATGCATCGATAGTAACTTTCATCTGTTATATTGTGTGTGTTTATATTTAATGTGCATGTGTGAGGTGGGCATGCGTGTAGAGATCAGAGGACAGCTTTCAAGAATCAGAAGCCCAGGTGTGGTGGCATGCCACTGTGGTCCTAGCCTTGAGGAAGCAGAGGTGGGTAGACCTCTGTGAGTTCAAGTCCAAGCTGGTCTATAGAGTGAGTTCCAGGTCAGCCAGAGCTGCACAGTGAGACCCTGTCTTAAAACAAAAGTCAGTTCTCTCCTTCCACCTTTGGTTCTAAGAGCCAAACTTGGGTTATCATGACCTAAGAGACACATGCTTTTCCCCACTGAACCATGTTTCTGGCCAGGTATTTTTTAGCAATGTTGCTTTTGCTGTGATGAAGCACCATAACCAAAGCAAACTGTGAAGGAAAGGGTTTATTTGACCCACAGTTCCACATCACTGTTCATCATCAGAAGCAGTGAGGCAGGAACGTGGATGCCAGAGCTGATGCAGAGGTCATGGAAGATGCTACTTACTAGCTTGCTCTCATGGCTTGCACAGCTGCTTTCTTATAGAACCCAGAACCACCAACCCAGGGATGGCACCACCCACAATGGGCTGGGCCCTCCCCTGTCAATCACTAGATAAGAAAGTACCCTGTAGGTTTGGCATTTTCTCATTGAGGTTCCTTCCCTCCTTTCTGATGACTCTAGCTTGTGCCAAGTTGACATAGAACTAACTAACCAGCATGCCTGGCCCTAGAAGTAATATTTACATTCATGATTATGCTTTTCAGCTCATAATGTGTCTTAAGGTAAGACTATAATTATTTAAAGATATTTCCTCTTGGTGTATTTTAAATCACTTCTAAAATGACTTCACTCTTTCATGACTTAAAAAAAAAAAAGTTTGTGTTTTGAGACAGGGTTTCACCGTGTAACCCTGGCTTTGAAGACCAGACTAGCCTTAAAATCACAGAGCTTTGCCTGCCTCTGTCCTGTAACCCCCAACACTGGATCCAAGCTCCCTCTGCATTGTCCTTAAGAAAGGTTGCTTTGCTTTGATCATCGATTAACCATTTTTACTTCTGCTTGAAGAAACCTCCTTCTGTAGGTCCTGCAGAAAAAAGAACCGTGCTTCTCTGTGATGGTAAACTAAGGCTCAGCACAGTTCAGCAGATGTTTGGCCTCTACCTCGTCGAAATGCTTCACGGTAGGTTAGAGGCAGAGCATCTTTTCCCTCTCCTGCCCAAATGATCTTGTCCGACCATTCAGTGACTCACAAAACAGTTAATAAATATGATACATTGCCTACTATATACCCAGGCCTGTTTCAGAAACAACAGCCCGTTGACACAAGTCCTTTATTAAGGGAACTTATGCCCAACTGGGGAAATGCACATCTTTTAAAAAATGGAAATGAAATGGAAAATAAAAAAGGTAGAGCTGAGTTACAAGGCACTATGTAACAGTGTGCCTATTGCAATCACGTGCAGCCATTGCAGAGGCAGTGTAGTGTTTCCTAGAAAGAGCCCACCCACACTCGAGCCCTGCCTGGGGCCTTAGTCATCACTTATGGAACATGGTTGTTTTATCTAGCCTCATTTTTTTTCCTCTTTTTTTTTTTTTTTTTAACAATAGCCACCACACTGAGCCTCACAAGACATTTTGTTTTTCCTTTTAGCATTGTAACATTTTTCTCCTTTGACAGATACATTTATTTATACTATAGCTTTGCAATTGTCATTTTGAACAGGTTAGTATTCTGAGGCATACCATTTTTACTTCCTTGTACTTTCTTGTTTGTTAGTTTGCTTTTACTTTTCTTATTTTTATTATTTTTGTTTTATGTGTTTGCATGTTTATCTGTGAACTGGATGCATGCAGTACCCATTTAGGCCAGAAGAGGGCATTAAATTCCCTGTGACTTGTGTTACAGACAGTTGTTAGCCCTCATGAAGTTGCTAGGAATTTAACCCTGGTCCTGTGGAAAAACAGCCAGTGCTCTTAATTGCAGAGCCATCTCTTCAGTCCCACTTTTATTTTACATGTACTAGTGTTTTGCCTGTGTATATGTCTGTGCATCATGGGCATACCATGGCCTAGGAGACAAGAAGAGGCAGGTAGGCAACGAATGCTCACCATACACGTATACACATTCATGCAGGCAAATCACTCATGCCTGTAAAATAAATATTTTTTTTGAAATATACATTTAGGTCATTTTCAGTTTTTCATCATTATAAATAACACTGAGAAAAATCTCCCTACATTTTAGGAGTATATATTTTTCAGAAATAAACATTTTTCACATATTCTCTGAAACTTCAGGGAACCAGAGATGGTTCAAATACCTGTTACATTTGTGGCCCCAGAGAAACCCCAGGATTTTCTAGGTCACTATTCTGTTCAGCTCATCCTCCTTAGATAGCTACAGTTGGTATTAATGTATAGAATAAAAAATTCCTTGGTAGGGTAGATCGTGTTCATTAAGTTTCTGGAGAAACTAGTGAACATCTTAATATGTATGGACAATGTACAGTCACACATTTGTCTTCATAGCACTATGTGATAAATGTCAGTCCTCCGGCTGGGGAGATGGCTCAGCGGTTAAGAGCACTGGCTGCTCTTCCAGAGGACCTGAGTTCAATTCTCAGCACCCACATGGCAGCTCACAACTGTCCATAACTCCTGTAACTGTCTGTTGCAGAAGACCTGAGGTCCTTATACAGCCATACATGCAGGCAAAACACCAATGTACATAAAATAAAAATAATACATTATAAATGTCAGTCCTGAAGAAAGCTGTGTTCTTAGCAAGCAGTGACACACTTGAAATGCCTGTCTTTGATTCCCACTTCCTGAGCTGCCATGTGACCTGATCCTAAGTACAATTCCATTCTTTGACCTCCATATTTTCTGAAAAGTGTTAGATGTTGAGGTGTAGCATGAGGTTTGATATCAACCACCATATTTCATTTTTAGAAAGTTAGCCCCATGTGGTGGTTTGTGCCTGTGGTCACAGCATTAGAGGCTGAGTCCGGAATACTAGTGCGAAGCCAGACTTAACAATAGTAACAAGATATGTTTGCAGTTATGTGTTTATCCTTCTAGAATTTCATGATCGCCTAAGTTGATGTGCATTTATTTACTTTATAGCTTCCCATTGGATACTCCTCTCTGCAGACAGCCAAGGTTTCATCCCATTAACTTTCACAGCCTCTCAGACGGTGGTAGTAAGAGATGGCAGCCTACCTAAACCAGAGGTGGCTAGGGACTCTCTTTCTTACAGTCGGAATCCCATTCCTCCACCTGGAGTCTTTGGAGACCTTGCCAACCAGAGTGTAGATACAGCTGGCTGTTTCAACAGTGTGACCTGATGGCTGTTTTGCAGAGCTTCCCTGCGGGCTGTATGCTGATGGACAACAGGGCAAGTGGTTGCTTATGTATTTATGACTGTGACTCGTGGAGGATAGAATTTCAAGAACAAAACAATACTGTGTTGCCATATGGATTATACTTTGTGATTTCTCCAAGGCCTTGCTTTCTGTAGCCCTGAGCTGTGTTAAGGCTGCCTTGGAGTACACCACAGGCTACACTGGCATAGTGGTTGGTCGTTTTCTTGCTTTGAAGATGCGGGTGAGAACTGCGGGGTCTTTTCCCCAGGCAGCAGGAAACCAGTGCAAAGGAACTCAGAGACCCCACTTCACCCTCAGATTGCCTAGATGAGGAAGGAGTTCAGAGGATAGCCTCTCTCCCCAGACTTAAAACCAACCCTTGTGATTCCGTAAACAATTCTACCATACCGAGATCCAGATACTACTAAAAAAACACTCTTGGAAAATTTTAAATAAAACTTCAAGATTTGACCCTCTCTGGTCTCTGTCCACCTGGTGAGACCCACGTCTTGTTTTCTGGCCTTCGCCACTCATGAATGTTTTTTCCTTGAGATGTGTTGATTTATTTTTCAGTTTGAGGATCACAGAAATTTCCCATTTTCCCTCCCAGTAATCACTTTCTTGGTGATTTGTGTTTGTTTTTGAAGTAAGGGCTCAGGCTTCCACTGAGCCCCATACCTCCACCCCAGCTTGTCTCTTTAACTTTGGTTATTTCTCTTTTCACCCCTTTCAAACCTGAGACCAATTAGAACCAGAAAGTGTTTTAAAACGTTGAACATTTTACAAAACCTAAACGGGTTCTACCTAACCCTGTCAGTTGGTGTGTACTGATAAGCTACCATCTCAGTATGGAGGAAAGAGCCTTGATCCCCTCAGCCGGACACCTGGCTGCTTCAGGCAGTATCCGGTTTCAGTCTGCAGGCCAGGAAGGAAGATCAGGGTTGGAAGGAAGTGCCGCACATCTGCAGAAACATTGTTTCAACCATTCAGGGCCCATTAACACACATTCCCCCTCCTTTCTTTAAAATTACCCAGAGAGGAAATATCTTGTGCCTTGGGGACTCCTGTCTGTTGCAGTTTATGAAGATGGAGCTGGGCTAGGAGAGAGGGGGCAATGGCCTATTTTGTGGTTCAGATGCATTAGACAACTGCTGGGATAATGGACGGGAGGCCACTTGTCTGTTATCAGTGGCCTGGAGAGTGGTGGCTGAGGGGAGTCTGAGGCCTGGCTCCATCTGCACAGGAAGTGTCTGGGGTGTGATGAAATCACTGCTATTAGAATCCTAAAGAGAAGGACTAAGGGAACCTGAGTGAGATCAATGGGAATGCCCCAAGATGTACTCTGTAATCACCATTTCCCAGGGCAGAATACTCGGAAGAGTCTTCAGTAAAATCTCAAATAGTGGTTGAGGCTGTCTGGAATGTTCTGATGGTATGGTCTTTGTGAGTGTCACTGTTGTAGAGACGTGGTCTGGATTTGGTACTCGTAGTTGTGAGCCGTGAATTTCTTCTTCTGGAGGGCATAGTGCAGAATGTAAATTGTTTCTGTATAACAAATCTGATTCCAATTAATGACAACTTTCACACAGATGTTTCCTTGGTCTGCTGTTAAGACAGTCATTGGAACATGGAAGCCAGAATGGTTCTTGCTGGCTTTAAGAGAGAAGTACTAATCCTTCAACATGTTTAATGTCACATTAAAAAGATTTCGAATCAGCCAGGTATGGTGGTGCACACCTTGAATCCCAGCACTCAGAAGGCAGAGGCAGGCAGATTTCTGTGAGTTGGAGGCCAGCTGGGTCTACACAGTGAGTTCCAGGTTAGCCAGGACTACACAGTGAGACCCTGCATAATAGTAATAGTAGTAGTAGCAATGATAAAGTCGTCCAAAAGAGTGGGGACATTACTAGAACCCTTTCAAGCTTCCCATGTGTCCCTTTAACCCTGCCTCTGTAGCGCCATGACTGGTAGATGTCATGGTTATTGTGATTATTGCTTCCTCATTCTTCTCCTTTATAAAATCAAGTTTTACCTCTGTGTGCACATTGGCGTACACAAAATGTTTAGTTCCCTTGTTTTAGAGCATTATACAAATGGTATGTTATATATAGTCTTCTGTGACTCTGGAAGTGTGTGCATGCTCGTATGTACACTTATGAATGTGTGCTCATATTTATAGAGGCCTCAAGTGTTGTTCCTCATGCCCTATGCCCCCCCTTTTTTTTGAGACAGGCTGTCCTGGAACTCACTTTCTAAACCAGGCTTGAACTCACAGAGATCCACCTGCCTCTGCTTCCTGGGATTAAAGATGTGCGCCACCACTGCCTGGCATCCATCCACTGTTCTTTTGAAATAGTGTTTCCCATTAGTGTGGAACTCACTAAGTAGGCTAGGCTAGCTGGCTGACCAACCCCAGGGATCGGCCTGGTTTCACCTCCCCAAAATATTCAGATTATAGCCTTATGTCACCATGTGTGGTGTTTGTTGTTGATCTTTTCTTCTCTCCTCCCTCCTTCTCCCCTCTCTCTTTCTTTTCTTGTGTTTTGAGACAGGGTTTCTCTGTGCAACCCTGGCTGTTCCTGGACCTCAATCTATATGCCAGACTGGCCTTGAACTCACAGAGATCCACCACCACCACCAAGCTCCTGATTTTTAATAAGAGTTCTTGGAATCAAACTCAGAGCCTCATACTTAGAGGCAGTGGTGCCCTTCTGACTGAGCCATCAATCCAGCCCCTCTCCCTTGCTTCCTGAGATGGCATCTGTCACTGAATGAGGAACTCGCCATTTTGGCTAGAATTGCAGGCCATTGAGCTCTTAGGATGTGCCTGTCTCCCTCCCCAACCCACCCAAACACTGGGGTCACAGATAAGCACTGTCATGCTGTCCCAGGGTTTTACCTGGATGCTAAGGGTCTGAGTCCTTATGCTTACACAGAAGCAGGTTCCCACTAAGTCATCTCTCAGCTGCCATTCAGTATTATTGCTAAGATATGTATATGTTATTTTTACAGCGTGACTTGGCATGGACATTTGGTTGTTTCCTGGCTTTATTTTGAAATTATGAACCATATTGCTTTGGATACTTTTATAAATATCTCCATATGCAAATATTTAAATATTTGAGAAGTCTCTCTGTGGTCTTTTCCCCAGAAATGTCTCTCACTGTGACACTGTTGGGTTACTACAAATTGCTTTGTAGTATATTTTGAGGCCAGGCTTTATAATGCTTGCTTTTTTTTTTTTTTTTTTTTTTTTTTTGCTCAAGATCGATATAGGTCCTAGTATTTCCAGTGCTTTCATATGAATATAAAGATTGTTTTCCGTGAAGAATGTTGGGCTAGGATACAGTTCAGAGGCCATATTCATAGCTTATCTAGCTATACCTAAGACTTTATGTCCCATCCTTACCTGGAGAACAAACAAACAAAATAACACACATCTACATACACACACACACACACACACACACACACACACAGTCAAGCAGGGCACAAGATTGGGATCTCAGTTTTTGGTAGGCTAAGCCAACACTGGCAAATTTGAAGCCAACCTTTAGTATAAGGCAAAATCCTGTCTCAGACACAGAAAGAATGATGTTTGCTGGAGGATTTTGGCAGATAGCTCTTTCAGGAAGGAGTGTTTCTTTTTGTTTTTGGTCTTCTAAATGCTTCTATTATGGATGCATTAGTTTTTAGCAAACATCTCTTCTATGGTAGGAAGATGATGAGTTCTGTTTGGGTGCATAATGTGGGGGTGGGGATAGGCATTAGGGCTGGAGGGCTGGAGCTCAGCAGGGGGGCTCTGGGTTCAGGATGGAGCCTGCAACATCTTATGGGTGGCAGTGGTAAGTGAGATCACACTGCCCTGGGAAGGCAGAGAAGGTTAAGAAGCATTGAAGCGGAAGTAAAGAGGGAAGTATGGTCAGAGATGGAGACAGACCAAGGAAGATGAGAGTTCTGAAGTGCTTCCTCAATGCAGTAATTACTTGTCTTGTTACTATGCTAAAATACCCTGGTAAAAGCTGGGCATTGATGGCACACGCCTTTAATCCCAGCACTCAGGAGGCAGAGGAAGGTGGATCTCTGTGCGTTCAAGTCTAGCCTGATCTACAGAGTGAGTTCCAGGGCAGCTAGGGCTGCACAGAGAAACCCTGTTGGGGCAGGGGGAGGGTTTTATTTTGGCTCAGGGATCCAGGGTTGGGTGGTTATGGCAACAGGAGCTTGAAGCAGCCAGTCACATTGCATCCGAAGTCAGGAAGCACAGATGATCCTGCTTGCTCTCTTCTTTTCCTTCAACCTGGCACCCCAGGCCATTCAATGGTGGTGTCACTTCCAGTAAGAAGGTGGTCTTCCCACCTCAGTTACTGGAGTCATGATAATTATCTCCCAGGTAATTCCCTTGGCAATCAGTATCAACCATATCATCTGGAGCTTTGTCAGACATTATTGATTTGATTGACATATCCATCCTGAGATATACATAAGGTATTTGTTCAAACAAGAAATGACTATTTAGTCAGCTGAGAGAAGATTGTTTGAGGCCAGGAGTTGAGCCAGCTTGGGCAACACACCTCTAATCTAAACTAAACTTAGACTTTTAAAACAGTTTTGCCAGATGTACTGATCATACCTGTAACCCTGGCACTTGAGAAGTAAAGACAGCAGGATCAGTTCAAGGCCAGCCTCAGCTACATAGTGAATTTGAGGCCAACCTGGGCTACATGTGGACCTGTCTCAAACAAACAACAACAAAGTAACAAATAAAGGGCTGGAGAGATGGTTCATTGGTTAAGAGCACTTGTTGCTCTTGCAGAGAGGGTCAAGATTTGGTTCTAGGCACCCACACTAGGCAGCTTACCACCACCTGTAACTATAGCTCCAGGGGATCAGATGCCCTCTGCTGGTCACTGCTGGCACCTGCATTCATGTGGTGCTCATGTACACTAAGGCATAAACACATACACATAAAAGAAATATTTAACTGGGTAGTGATGGCATGCGCCTTTGATCACGGCCCTTGGGAGGCAGAGGCAGGTGGATCTGCTGATTCAAGGCCAGTGTAGTCTACATAGTGAGTTCTAGGACAGCCAGGGCTATACAGAGAAATCCTTTCTTGAAAAACCAAATAAGGAAAGAAAGCAATCTTTAGAAACAATAAACAAGATAGACAAGCACTTATGGGGAGGTTGTAGAAGCAATGTGCAAACTCCTTTCTCCCCTTTGAGTGATGGAGTTGGTCCTGTCACACTGCCCTGTCTGCTGTGGAGGCTGAAGCTAAGTTTCATGGCTTCAGGAGTGCCAGGTAAAGAGGAGATAGGAATGGCAGGGGGTGGGGAGAGAATAAGAGAAGCAAGTTGTTTTGTTTTAGGCTGAGGGCAGTGGTGCCCTGGTCTACGTAATCCATGGCTGGGATAAAAACCAAACTTAATGGCTTCTCAGGGGATCCAGCATGGGATGGCGAGCTGTCCACAGTCACATTTTACCCACTCTGCAAGAAATAAGCTCTTTAACTTGTTTTTGCTTGTAAGATAGAGTCTCAGGTTGTTTAGGCTACCCTTGAAATTGATATGTAGCTGAGGCTGGCCTTGAACTCTTGATTCTCCTATTTCTACCTCCTGAGTGCCAGGATCACCTGTGTTTCAAAACAGCTAAGTCTGTTTTGAAAAAAATAAAATCTTTCTTCCCCAAAGAGACACAGCCCTAGAAAACTGCAGCTCCCATTACATGTTATTATAACATAAAATTTCAGAAAATATGTTTATATTTATTTGTAAAACTGACTGGCCTCTCATAGTTCTGTCATCACCCTCTGTCTACTAATGGAAGCAATGACCTCCATTCATGTGAACAGAGCAAAGTACTGGGCAAACACCTGTGTGCCAGGGTGGGTCTGCTAAGCCTGCAAAATGTCATGTGTTCTTGTGCTCAGTTTGCCCATTCACACTGTGTCCCAGTTCTGTGCTCTCAGCAGGTGCCCACTGAGACTGTGAAAACCAGGTCTGTTTTCCTGTGTGTGGAGCTCTGCTGTGGAGGAAAGGGAGTGTACAGACTGGAGTAGACAGGAGCTTCTTTGTGACGCCAGAAATAGTCTTGGAGGATACTTTCAGAGTCTGAGGCTTCTTGAAAGTAGAGTAGGCTGGGCTACAAGTCTGAAAGGTCCAGGGTCAACAGGTAAGGAGCGACTGAGTAGGGTTCCTGAAGCCAGCCCCCCTTCAGGGGGTGTCACTAGAGTCTCCATTTGCAAGAGGAAATGACATGTGCTCAGTTGCTAGGGTATGCTCAGGGACTGGATAGAGAGCACCAGAAAATGCAGGCTTCTGCTTTTCCGGCTCACAGAAGTCCACTTCATGTTCAGGCGAGGCTGTAGCTAGTTCTTCTGAGGGAAGGGAAGAAGCCGAGGAGAAAGGGAGAGGTGAGATGTCACAGAATGCCACAGAAGTTTCAGGTGCTATTCCATGTCTTTCCAGCAATTCTCCACTCACAGGCCCACTAAAGCCACAACCCAGTCCCTCCAAGTCCCATCAGGCAAGTCCCCAACCTCTCAGCATTGCTGCAGACTGAAGTTACTAACTATGAGAAGTCAGGGGTTGCTGATAATAGCACCGTGTGTGCTCTGTGTAGAGATGGACACCAACTTGTGTATCCATAAGTAGGAACATCTTTGGGCCAGATGTGTGTTGATGTGGTAGCACACACTTCCTAATAGGTACCTATTTGGCCTTGTGCCCTGTGCTGAGCTCCAGAGATAGGATTAATGTAATATATCCCCAGATATATTACAAGATTCTTGCACTATCCTAGAAAAGCCAGGCAGTACACACATCCCTCATGTAGTGGATGTATGGTAGGGGAAGGGACAAGCCCAGCAGTCTCTCAGCAGTCATGAGAAGGGAGAACAGGAAGCTCCCAGGCTCTGGCACTGGGGCAGACAATGATTCCACTCTCTGAGATGGAGATCCAGAAGGAGAAGTGTAGGGAGGAGAGGATGAGGGTCACCTGAAGGCTCCCTGCACCTGCCTAACTAACCTGCTGGTAGGACAGTTATTGTAGCTGTGCAATGAGTTATGTGCCTGGATGTGGAATTTGGCAGAAGTGCAGGGCAAAGGGTGACTTGAGTCACCAGGTGTGAGATGTTCTAGATCACACAAGTAGAAGGGTACATGGGGGATGTAGGGTTCCTTCACATCCCCTGTCTACCAGGTTGTGACTAGAGATAGAAGGAAATCTAGAGCAAAGAGTGTCACTGAAGCTAAGGCAAGCAGCCTGAAATCAGGTGGCTTGGCTGATGTTAGCTGTTAGGTACCAGGGTATATGTGTGCGTGTGTGTGTGTGTGTGTGTGTGTGTGTGTGTGTGTGTGTGTGTGTGTGTCTTAGGCTGGTAACCCTGCCCATGTGTACCCATGTACAAGCACTGCCCACCTCCGAAGGCTTTGCTGGGAAGTGTCCTGGCTTGGCATCTTGGGAGTAGGGCCAACCATGAGGATGCACAGACCAATAAGGATCATACAGGTGGGCACAGCACCGATGAGGACCTTGAGGGTGACCACCACTTCTTCTGCTTGCTGGCAGGCCCCTGCCTCATACCCTGCAAACCTGGAGAAACACCACCCTTTCTGTCAGCTCTACTGAGCATGGCTCCTTGGGTGCAGAAGTCACAGACATGTCACCCCCACCCTCTCCTGAAAACGGACTTCTAGCCAGATTGGTATGGTTAGAAGAGGGCCAGAGAGGTTCAGAGCCCCTTAGTCCTGATGATGGGGTCCTTATACTCCAGAAAGTATAGCATGCACTCCAGACTCATGGGTGACCTCTAGGGTGGGGGTTCTGTCCCTTCTTCCCACCCGCTAGGTCTTTAGTGTTTTTGGTGTATCCCAGCCCCAGGACTGACTCCAAACTGAGAGTGGAGATGCCTAGGGCGCCTGCGCCTGAGAGCTTGGTGAAGAAGACATAGGATGAGTAGAAGATGGTCTCCACACCGGGGCCATGCTGGTGCTGCAACTGGAAGTCATCCACCACATCTGGCAACATGGACCTAGGGGCAGGCGCATGGAGTCAGTCCTCTTTCCTTCGAAAGACGACAGCTAGTTTGTGAGTCCTCAAGAGGTCAGAGACTAAGTTGGAGACCTCTGCTCAGAACCAACCCACAGCATCCAGCAGGATGTCTGCTTCCCTGTTCTGTTGTTGGCTCCTTTTTAGGAAAGTTCCAAGGAAGGAACTGGTGGCCCCACACAGGGAGTAGGACAGCAGGAGGAAGAGAGACTGCCTTGTGAGAGGATGTGAGGCTCCCAATCCCTCATCCCTTCATCCAGCCTACCAGGGTAGCAGCAAGGACACAGCGATGCTCACACCAGAGACAAAGGCCACAACATAGGCCACAGGCGCTGAGGGCACAGCAGCCAGCAAGATAGAAAAGGGCACCATTACCTGGGGAGACAGACCTGTGAGCTGATCCTCCTATTTCCCTGGCTTGTTTCCTCATTTACAGGCTCAACCTATGTCCTGCACCTGGTCCCATTCTAAGCCCAGCAGACCCAAGGGAACCCAGATCTAAACCCTGCTGATCTCAGGCTCCTGAATACCTCCTCAGCCACCCACCCACACACACACCCCATCCCCCTCCCCCTCCCGCCCAGACTTGCTTCCTGCTTCACTCACACAGATCCCGAACGCAGATGCCCTCTTTCCAATCCGCTGGAGAACCCACTCCCACAGTGGGGTGCTCAGCACAGCTGAGATCTATGAGCAGACAGCATCATCTCACCAGGCCCTGAGGTCCACACCTTTCCCTAGACCTCAAAGCCCTTGCTTTTAGGCAGGACACTCAACCTCAGACTGTCTGGCTTGAACCAGTAGCTATTAATTTTGAGTCTGGCTCCCCAGCACCACCCTCTGCTGGAATGAGACTGAAACAAAATGTGGCCCTTAGAACTCTGGCCACAGGGTTTCTCCCGAGGGCCCCAGCCTCCACCACCTTGGTCCCCTTACCAGGATGGTTAGCACCAAGTTCTGGACATGGTCTTGGAGCCGGGAGGCGTGTGTACAGAACAGGACCAGGTAGCTTTGTTCCACCTGAGGAGATGCACAGGGGACGGTCATATGCAGGAATTGGCAGGAATTCTGAAGTCATGTGTAAGGGCAAGGTCTCCAGTAAAGCCTCTTCATTCAGTCCTTGAACTCAAAGGATTCCCTGTCACCATAGATAACGAGCACCATTCCTCGTATACTGTCCTCATTTGCATAGTTAAGATCCAGTGGATTTGACTAGATTTCAGGTAATATGAGAGGATGTCCTCCCAGACACCAGCAACTCCCTGGGAACCCAATCACAGTAGCCACACCCAGGCTTTTCCTCCCAGCACCTGTCTCAGCCAGGTGTCATCCCCATAAAACTGAAACCTACACTGGCATGATGATGGATGCTTGTAACCTCAGCACTTTCGTGGAGGAAGGAGAGTCAGGAATCAGGAGCTGATGACCAGAATCAGCTATGTAGCAAGTTCAAGATCAGCCTGGGCTACATCAGACCCTATTTCAAATGCCTGTTTACAATTAGCACAGCCAGAGCAAATCAAAGATCACTTGGCCAGCGGTACCTGGACGGCAGCTGAGATGAACAAGAAGGAGACCACCAGATTCAAGTAGGGCGGGTGCCGGGAAGTGATAGCCAGCCCTGTGAAGAAGCTCAGGCCTGGGCCTGAGGCTGGGGTAGAAGTGTCTGAAAAACAGGCAGAGTTCAAAAACTCACCCAGGAGGAGCCCTGCTCCCAGCTTCTGCCGCTCGCTGTGTCCTCACTGCACCCCCATTCGCTCGTGTCCTCACTGCACCCCCATACCTGGCCGCTCCTTTACTCCTAGGCACAGCAAACCGCCACACACAGGGTAAGTCAAGGCAACCACAGCAGCTGCGATGCAATAGAGGCGAGCCTGCAGGACAGGACAGAACTGCACTGAGGGTAACGTTAGCAGCCCATGAAGGAAAGCAGGAGTACCACTCGATGCCAGCAGAAAGATCATCACCCCAAGCCCAAAGATGCTGGCTTCTGCTCCTCTGGGTTGTTCAGTTAGGCCGAAGAGCTTGCTTATCTGATGACTCTTTGTTCCTCTACAGAAGGGAACATCTGTGCCACCAGAGGTCAGTGTGCTTACTGTCCCATCTTAGTCAGCAAATAGGCACTGTTGCTAACGTCTGTGTCCTAGATCCTGAGGTTACAATGATGAGCAAGTGGCCCCTTGTCCTCAGTAAGGCTGGGCAGTGGGGAGGGGTGTGCACATCCATGGGCAGTTAATAGTGTGATGGATGGCGACCCAGGTGAAGTACAGAGAAGATAAAAATGCAGATAAAGAGATGCATGGGGGTAATAACCAATGAGGACAGAGGGTGCTTCTGGGAGGGGTAGGAATGGAGTGCAGAATGGCTTTCCCAGACAAGCTCCATGCCTTGGAAGAAAGAGCGCGGTGTTTGGCCCGAGTTCTCTGTTTTCATTGCCCTGAAATTTTGGTAATTTTGTATGTGAATTTTTCTTTCTTTTTTTTCTTTTTTCTTTCTTTTTTCTTTTTCTTTTTTTTTTTTTTGGAGGCAGGGTCTTTGTATTGCCCACACTGACCTATAATTCACTGTGTAGGATGATCTTACAAGTGGGATCTTCCTGCCTCCATCTCCGGGGTGCTAGGATTACAGCTGTGAGCCATCGTGTGCTTATTAAGGTGCTGAAGAGCTTCAATCTTGCTAGGCAAATACTCTACCAACTGAGCTGTAACCCGGACCCTGCATTTTCTGTTGTTGTTGTTCTTGTCTATTAGTGGTTTGTCATCCCTACCCCTGCCCCAAGAATCACACACACTGAGTGTTTTGGATTTTTTGACCGGTTTCATATCGCTCAGGCTGGCTTAAAACTGACTATATAACCAAAGCTAGCCTCGTACTTCTGCTCCTCCTGTCTCCATCTCCCATGTGTACCACTTGTGTTTTTGCTGTTGCTATTTGGTTGGTTTTGGCTGTGCCTGGTGATTGAATCTATTTAGTATCTCATGCATGCTGGTCAAGTGCTCTACCACTGAGCTACATACTCTAGTGGTTTGTCCCCCTTTCCCCCTCTCCCTTCCTTCTTCCCTTCCTTCCTCTTTTCTTCTATCCCTTCCTTCCTTCCTTCTAAGCTCAGTGGAGAACCTGATAGGCATTGGGGCTTGTGAGTTAAGTTAAAGAGGTAGGGAAAGGGTGGGCATCCCGACCCAAGAGGAAGAAGCAACAGAAGAGCATCCCTGGAGGAAGGCGTTGACCCCACAGATGGGGTCCTGGATTCCTCAGACACTTACTACATCTGGAGAGACAGCAATACTCCCGGAGAGCCCAGGATCCTCACACCTCCGAGACCCATGGGCACTGGATACGATGAGTCCATGGACAGTGGCTCCCATCAGAGTCCCTGCCATCTCCATGGTCATCCCTGGAGACAGAGCATGTACAAGGTGACATGGCAAGCTGCAGGATCTGAGGGACAACAGCCTCAGGCCCAAAAACAGAACTGTACTCACGGTATGCAGTGGCAGAGTCTCGCTCCCTGGGGCTGGGGGTGAGGATCATAGTGAGCGCCGTGTAGGGTACCTGGAAGAACTGGGATGGCCCCTCAGAGCTTAGCATGGCTTCCATCACCCATACTGTCACTCAAGGTCTGTGTCTCCTTCCCCTGCCATCTTGATATGCAAAAGCCAGCAGCCACCCTGTCCCATCCAGATCCCTAGAAGTCTTCCAACTCTGAAAGCTAAGGGCTCCAAAGCAAGGCCTGAGCAGAGCCAGTATTGTTAATGACGGGTTTCCAAGCACTGATGGGCAGGTCAGAGCAGTGAGTCCAAACCTACATTAGCCTTACTCTGAATAGAAATCATCTGGCAGCGGGGCGCACCAGAAGCAGGTCTAGGAGGGCTCGGAGAGAAGATCACACACTTACCGTAGCCAGGGCCTGGAACAGGCAGTAGAAGGCAGTATACCAGAGCCCACGCAGGCTGCTGAATGGAGGCAGGAACCACAGGAAAAAGTAGGCCAGTGCAATTAAGGGCATGCAGCCCAGCGCCCTGTAGAAGCACAGCCAAGGTACTGTGCCTACAACACATAACCACCAAGGACCCAGCAGGAACTACCTCACCCTATGAGAGGCACTCTGGAGCCAGGGCTCTCAGAAGCCATGGAGACAAGGGGGAAGTGAAGGTAACAAAATGAAAGACATTCACTACTAGGACTCTGGCCAGGGCCCTTGGGTTCCCTGTATTCAGAACACCGGTGAAAGAACTGGAGTTTCACTTAGTGGTAGCTAGCTCCTACTAGACACTGTCTTTGATTTCCAGGAGCACAGGCACATTGCATTTCCTCGAGAACCTTCTAGCCTAGTTCCACCACATGAGCCACAGACAGAGCTGGGAGCCCTGGAAGCTTGTTCAGCCCTGGGCCCACTGATGAGGGACAGACATCCCTAAGCATGTTCCTGGACTCATTCTGATCTAGCTCATCTCCTGCATTGCACATGCCTGCCTCCTATCCATCCACAGGCATCACTAAGAAATAGGCTGTGACAGTGACACAGGGCCAAGGGGGCAGCAGGGTCTAAGCACCAAGGGATTGCTCACCAAGGCATTAGCCTGCCAGCTCCTGTCCTTCTGCTTTTGTTGACGAGGAAGCCAGCCACAGGGTCTGCGACTGCACCAGACACCTTCCCTCCGAATAAGGCAAGTGACACCTGGGCAGCTGGGATCTGAAACCATCAAGAGGCAACAGCCAAGGCCCCGCAAAATCAGAGGCTACAGTCAGGCTTGCTTGCCCATAGGATGGGAGATCTGGGAACTCATCTGGTGCTACAGCCAAGGTGGAAAGGGTTCCTGCCCAGGACATGATTCCTAAAAGCACCAAGGGACGTCAGAGCCAGTGAGGAGAGGGATAATGCTGATAGCTGTACTATCACTATTTATTGATTTGCCTTTTGTTTTTGACATAGGGCAGTGGTTCTCAGCTTCTGGGTTGAGACCCCAAGGGGGTTGCTTGTTCAATATTTACATGATGATTCATAAAAGTAGCAAAATTACAGTTATAAAATAGCACCAAAATAATCTTATGGTTGGGGGTCCCCATAAAATGAGAACTATATTTAAGGGTTGCAGCATTAGGAAGGTTGAGAACCCAAGAGTTAATATTTCATGTCTCAAGCCTGTCTCTACTATGGGAATTACAGGATTGCATCATCATGCCCATTTCATGCATGCTAAGTATGGTAGTTTGAATGTAATTGGTCCTATAATGTGGTGATGGTCAGAGAATGGAGCTTGGGACGCTAACCATAGAGGTCTGGATGTCTGTACAGACAGACAGGAAGTGACATAGTTGGATAGAAATAGGATATAAGCAGGGAGAAACAGGAAATTGCGCTCTTCTCTACTGAAATGCTTAAGAGGTAAGGTATGCTGTGGCTTGCTCCTTCTCTCATAAGGAGGGGCACTATTGGGAGATGTGGCTTTGTTGGAATGAGTATGGACTTGTTGGAGGAAGTATGTCACTGTGGGGGCAGGCTTTGAGGTTTCATATACTCAGGATACTGCCCAGTGAGTCAGTTGACTTCCTGTTGCCTCTAAGATGTAGGACACTTGGTTATTTCTCTCGCACCATGCCTGCCTGTATGCCATCATACTCCCTGCCATAATGTACTAAACCTCTGAACTATAAGCTAGGCACCACAATTAAATGTCTCCTTTATAAGACTTAATGTGGCTGGGTGGTGGTAGTGCAGGTCTTTAATCCCAGCACTTGGGAGGCAGAGACAGGAGGATCTCTGTGAGTTCGAGGCCAGCCTGGTCTACAGAGTGAGAAACTCCATCTTGAAAAACCATTTTAAAAAAAGAAGTTGTTGTGGCTAGGGGAGGGAGGAGAACTGTGGTTGGTATGTAAAATGAATAAAAGGATTTAAAATAAAAAAGTAGTTGCCATGGTCGTGGTGTCTCTTCAGAGAAATAGTAACATTAACTAAGACATTAGAGAAGCCCTCTACCTGTTGTTCTATTCCCATCTTGTCTTGAGATAGGATCTCATGTAGCAAATGCTGGCCACGAACTAGCCATCCTACGAAGAGGAGGGATTTGAATTCCTGACCCTCCGGCTGCTGCCTGTCTGCTGGAATGCTGGGATTGCAAATGTCTGTCGCCACACCTGGCTATTTTCTCATTTTCTTAGTACAAGCAGGGTGTAATGAATATTTTTGAAGAGATTTCCTTCCACAGCATTTTTTAATTGGATCAAAGGGCTTCTACTAAAACCAAAGTGGCAATATGGACTGAGAGGAGGTAGAAAGACCAGGGGCCCCTGAGCTGCTGCCCACGCTTACCTGGGCCACATCAAGTAGGAAGATCTGCAGGTAGAAGGCTGAGGCGCTAGAGGCCACCTGGTTGGGGATGCCGCCAATGCCATAGCACACCTTTGTACAGACTGAGAGGCGACCGTCTCTGTTGTCCTGGGAGAGAGACACAGGAACTAACCGCTATTCCTAGAGGCACAAAATGGCTCCCCACGCCCAAGCAGCTTTCATAAAAATCCTGTATTCCCTGATGGCTTGAGGATTCCTCAGCAACCTCAGCCTCATTTTGACCCCAGATCATCCTATGGGGAAGTGAAAGAGAATTAAAGAACAGAATTCTAAACCATGACCTCTAAACCATCAATCCAGGGGGAAGTTCTTCCTTGCATACTACCCCCATGTTCCTGCCACAGCCACTTTCTGTACTGAGTCAGTAAGCAGAGTGAGCTGTGGGTCCCTGTATGAACTTGAATCAATCCCTTTATGTTTTTAGGCTGTGTTTTCTTCATCTATCAAATGCTATCACCCTGCCAACTTCACAAGGTTGTGATGACTGAATGAGACATCTAAGAATCAACTGTTCAATGTCTGGGTTTATTTGATATTTACTTGTGAGGGGAGGGGAGTGTGCATGCCCCACAGTACACTTGTGGAGGTCACAGTATGTTCTTTCTACCATGGGACCTTTGGTATTGAACTCAGGTCATCAGGCTTGGTGGCAGGTACTTTCACCCACTCAGTAATCCAATGTTTGTGACTTCTGCAAGCCATTTGTTGAGCCCCTAGCCTCAGCTGCGATGGGGGTATGTACACTATAGACACCAGCAAACCTTACTTACCCCCTTTCTTTCCAAAAGACTGTTTATCAACTGAGCAGTACCACAAAATAGTCTAAGGGCCTGGACTGTGGAATAACACAGCCCCTCAGCCATCCAGTGAAGTCATAAACATTTGACTGCCATCTCATAGCCCCAACTGTTCTAAACACAGCTCCGTCCTGCTATCCCACTGTGACACAGCTCCCAACCCCACTTGCCACATGGCATTAAATAACACTGATGTCTGCTCAGTGGCTCAGGCCACAACCTTGGTCATCCTTGGTTACTCTCTTTTCCAATTCCCCTACCACATCCATCAGGTGAGCCTCCTAAGTGGCTTTTTGGCCACTAGTCCACTCCCCCTGCAGCAGCCAGTGTTCTATGAATAGCATAAATCAGACTAAGTCTGCTTAAAACCATAACTTGCCAGTCTTTATTGTCTAATCAAACTCAAGTTCTTGAAATGGCCTACAGGAGCCCACTCTGCTCCTACTCCCTCACTCCAAATAGATTTCTTGGTGGAGTTTTCTGTTGTTCAAACCCTTTGAGATTGTTGCCTCCTTGGGTCTTTGAATTTCTTTTTTGTTTTCTCTATAAGGTTCTTCTGTGTCTTTCAACAGTTGATTGCTTGCCATTCAGGTGTGAGTTTAAATATTCCTTCCTCAGAGGCATCCTTGATGATCAGGGATTGCTCAGACTGCCTAGTAAACTGTTTTATTTCTTTCCTCTCCCCACCACCATGTAAGCTGAGAGCATAAGCTTTCTTATGCTCTAGGCATACAGTAGGTGCTCTATGCTTCTATGTACCTAGGCATACAGTAGGTGCTCAATATATGTTTTTAAAGCAATCAATGGCCTGGAAAACACTGTAAAGTTCTCTATGTTCAAATAATGCTAGGAATCATTTTTTCATCCATTGCCCGGGGACAGAAGTGAGATGGAAAGCAACTAGGAGAATGACTGGTTCAGTATCTTACAGGCACCACAGGCAGGCTGCATGGAAGGGAAGGTCTTCCCAGATAAGGTTTATCACATGCTTTACACATGCTTCCTACACCAGGAGAAAAACCACTCTTAAAGCTGGGTACATTCTTTTTCTGACATTTGTATGAACATTATTGCAACTTCCAGAAAAGCTTAATTGGCGGAATCCAGTGTGAGTGGATTCCCATCCCATAATGAGTCTCTTGTTTCCCCCTAAATGGGCCTATGGAGGTTTTAGATAAGGGAGGGCCAGGCAAACAAATTCCAGCAGAAACTGAGATGGTGCAGTCTTTGGAATGATCATTTGGTTGCCTTACCCCATCAGTCCATGGAATCTGCATTTTATGAACAGACAAGATGGCTGTGTGACCTAGGCAAGGCATTGAGTCTTTCAGAGCCTCACTTCTTGACAAGCAAAATGCATATATATATATCTCATAGCACTAGGACAATTAAACACTGGGGCTTCATGGCAGTCTTGGTTCGTTCTCTCTGTCTCTCTCTCTACCAGTAATATCACCCCAGTTCCCTGAATTTTCCTGGAAAGTGAGAGTTCCCAGAGGGGCCTCTACCCCATCCCTGCCCCAGTATAGGAGCTTAGCATGCTAGACAAACCCTCTGTTACTGGGCTACATCTCTACTCATCCACTTTTCTGATTGTTTAGGTGTCTTTCTATGCTTCCCGGAACCTCCAGGAATCTTCCTGCCTCAGGCTCCCCAGCCAGGATCTGGGACTAAAAGCACACCGAAGCACCAGGGGTCTCCCAGTTGAGGGTTGTCTTTCTTTTGACTGATAGTAAACACTGAATCAAGATAGGGGATGGAGGAGGTATTCTATTGAAGCTGCAGAAACTCCTTGCTGGTGGAACTAGGGTAGTTTCTGAATTGAGTAAGACACAGCCCGGGGCTCTTAACCCCTCTCTGGCATTGGCACCAGCCTCAACATCAGCCTCAGGCCCCATCTGTCCTCTCCCCACACCTCCACAGCTCCTCCCTGCCTGGGCACCCAGGGGATGGCCTTTCTAAGGAGAATTTGGTACCTGGACAGCACCAGGACTTCAGAGGGAGGCTAAGTCCACAGGAGCTGCCTGGAGTTTGGAGAAGAGAGGCAGCCCCTTTATCAGTATCTGCCAGGGCTAAAGAGGCTTCCAGGAAGACCTGCAGTGGCCTGGGATCAGGACATTAGAGATCTGGTCCTTCCTGCCTATTTGTTACTTCATGTCAGGACTCTGGGTGCCTTCCTATTTTCTCTGGGGTGTCCCAGTGGCACCACACTCTGTACTCTGCCAAAATCTGGATGAAGGGCTGTGGCAGGTGCCTCTCTCCCCTGCCCATGGGAGTACAGAGCAGACCCACTTCCCTCTTGCCCTCCTGACGCTCACCGAGCCTGGCTCCTGGGTGTGAGGCTCTGCCACAGAGGCCGCCGCGGTGGGTTCCTGAGGCAATGACATGTCAGGGCAGCTCCTCTGACTGCCCAGCTCTGGGCACTGCTGCGCCTGGGGTGGGTCCAGCCAAGTGGGCGCGGCCCGGGCGAGCAGGCAGACAGCCCTGAGGGAGCCCCAGCAGTCTTTGCGGTCTGTGGCAGCAGTTTGGGGATACCCAGGACCACGAAGCTTCCGGTCCTCCTCTCCAAGGAGGAGCTCGCCAATCGCCACACACCTGGGAAAAGTTGCCATGTCCTCGGGGACTGGCCATTTTCTTTTCTTGGCAGACTGTGCTGGAGACAGAAACCCTCAGCTAATCCCAATCCCCAGCAAATAAATTTATTCTTTAAATGAAGCAATACACTTTACATGTTCAGACTAAATTATAGCTGAGTGGCCTTTCAGTCTGACATATTTCCCAGGCTTCCTATAGGTAACTGGTAGGTATGTCTGTGCAACCAAGTCCGGGAAGTGAATGAAGTTATGTGTGCAAAATCCCAGGAAGTTGGCACATGCCTTTAATCCCAGCACTTGGGAGGTAGAGGCAGGCGGATCTCTGTGAGTTCGAGACCAGCCTGATCTATAAGAGCAAGTTCCAGGATAGGCTCCAAAGCCAGAGAAACTGTCTGGGGGGGGGGGATCCCAGAAAGTGCTTTAAAAGGCAAAAGGCCGCACTGTATAAAACTCCTGTCAAAATAGTGTGACCAGCTTGCTGTGTATTATCAGGCTACGAAACAATGGATCCGAGAAACTAGTCAGAGCTCCCTCCCCCAACAATACAACAAAACAAAGCAACTCCTCTTGGGAGAAAAGGCCCTGGGCAACCAGAAGGAACTTAGAGAAGGATCTCCATTTGTCTGTTAGTCTTGCATGGTCCACCTTGGTCGGACAGGGAAGTTCCACTCCCTCTTGGACTTTGGAGGTCATTGGATCTTTTGTTATTCTCCTCATCGTGCTCACACTGACAATGCCTCCCTCCCTTTTCACCATTCATTTGACTCTGAGTTAAGCATATGGAGAATGGACGGCTCAACCTGGTTTGTTGGGGGCACAGGCAACAGCAGGTACAATGTGCATATTAGACAACTGTACCTTAGGACACAAGCACAAGTTGTACGACAGTAAAATGACAAACTTTGTGCAGCAAATAATCATATGTGGCAGGGTGACGGTATCTCCCAAGTGTGGGGGACAATATTCACAAATTATAAACTACTTGTATTGGGATACACAAGCAACTTTTAATAACAAATTAGTATCTCACTTTGAAATCCATACTTCATACTCTAAAGATACACAGATGATCTATATAAGGACATAAAAACATGCTCATGCTGGCTGTGTATGTCTTTCTTAGAGACAGGTGCCCTGTGTAGCCCTGGTTGTCCTGGAACTTGATTTGTAGACTAGGCTGGCCTCAGAGAGTCGCTTGTCTCTGCCTCAAGCGCTGGGATGAAAGGTGTGTGCCACCGCACTCAAGAGCTCCTTTTCAAGGAGATGCAAATTTCCAAAATGATATCCTGGTTGAATAATATAGTTGAATAGACTTTAAAAAATCATTGACTATTTTTTTTTGTGTGTGTGTGCCTGGCAGAACCCATGTCAATTTATACTGAGATTATCTTTAGAATTGGTATTTTATAATTTTCTATAATGAGTATGAATTGTCTGTGCCAAAACAATCTAAAACAAATGACAAAGAGCCAGCTATAAATGTAATGAGTAAGTCATTTCTGAGGATCCAGGATGATGAGCAACTTTTTACTGAAGCAGTTTTTTTTTTTTTTTTTTGGTAAAATAGAACAAAGGAATATATTACTAAACCACTAAACCTCCTTGCTATGTCATAAGAACAAATACAACTGCTGGGCTGGTACTAAAATATCACTTTCTCACATTTCTGAACATGAAATGAAGGTAACATTGGTTAAAGAAAAGGCATCTAAGAAATAATCATTGATTCTCAAACTGAATGACAAATAATGACAAAAGAATTCACATATAACTGTTTTATAACAAGTGTAAATTATTTCACAGATCCTTTCAATGAACAGCACTTTATCTTAGAACAGTTTATTTAGCTATTAGCAAAATACCACATCAAAAATATATTAATGTTGTTTGTAGTTTACTCTTTGGCTCTTTGCTCTTTTGGGGGTCCTGCCACTCAGCTCTCAAATAAATCACATACAGAGGCTTATTTTTTCTTATGAATGCCTGGCCTTAGCTTGGTTTGTTTCTAAATAGTGTTTCCTAACTTACATTATCCAAACTACCTTTTCTTCTGTATATCTTACTTTCACTCTTACTCCTGGCTGATTGGGTGGCTGGCCCCTGACATCGTCCTCTCTCCTTGTTCTATCTTGCTCCTTCTTTGTCCTTTCTCGTTTCTCATATCTATTCTCTCTGCCTGCCCTTCCTATCTTTTTTCCTGCCTCGATAATGGCTAAGAATCACAGCTTCACAGAGTTAAACAAATGCAGCATTAACAAAAGCAACACATCTTTACATCGTTAAACAAATGTTCCAGAGCATAAACAAATGTAACACACTGTAAAATAATATTTACAATGTATTAAGGCACTAAAATAAATACACACACTGCACTGTCAATGTTTGGAAACATGAAGTATACTGAATGGAGTTGTGATAAAGTAAGATTATTTTAGCTTTGATAGTGCATAGTAATCTAATTAGCAAATCAGGATGTGAAAATCAGTTATGTACTTCTGTATGTCCAGCTTATCTGCAAGATAACTGACTGGTGACAGATCTGAAGCAATGACTTGGGTCAAATTGCATCTCACTCCTAAGATGCTCACTCATTTCAAGTTTTGCTTCCCTTGGCATTTATTCTCCCAAAGTCAACATGGGGTGAGGACTCTAGCAACTTCACAACTCTTAAATTTCAAGTAAAAAGCTTTATCAGATGATTATCTTTAAGAACATTGTTTATACTAACAATTTCACAGTTTAAAAAAACACAAGTTATTGCTGATGACTGCTCTTCCTTTCCTATTGAAACTTCTCCCTGACATGTACTCTACAAGATACACAAGAATTAGAAATTCTTGGTTAATTAGAAATGGAGAAATCCACAAAGTAGGCTTTTTTTTTTTTTTTTTTTTTTTTTTGGTAGATACATGAGAAATGTAGATACATTCACAAATTTATAATATAACAAAATAAAATACATTTTAGTTGAGAGGTGGCAAACAAATGGTAGTTACAAATACTAGCTAAAAATAAATTCCTAGTTTTGGGGGAGAAATTTGGAAGAGAATGAACTGTGATTCTTGGAGAAGTCTTTGTTTGCTCTTTAATAACTCAGCATACCTTATCCCCTATGAAGATGGTGACAGCTTATAGTACATAGTGTGATGGCATGGAGTCCTACCTCACCATGAGCTCTCACCTTAACTCCTTGAAGACCACCACTCTCCTCCCGTATTTCCACCTGTTACCTGAGTGAACACCTGCTGAAGGCAGGGGCCAGCATCACATCCTGCAGAAAGTGATGAGCTGGCCAACCTGCTCTACCTGCAAACACAGCTCTGTACATGCAGGGCACACCTCAGCAATAGTAGTGTACAAATTCATTTCTTCCAGAACCACACCAAACTTATCCTGTGCCTCCAATGGCAGCAGTGATCTACATTGATAAGAGGACTTCTATACATACTGCACTGCCTATGCTTCTGGAGGAACAGAGCTGCTGCAGGGAACTGGCTAGCTGACTGTGGCTTGTAGCTGTTGAGCTTGAAACTATCTGCAACTGCCTCAAGGCCTCCTCCTAGGCCTCTGTCCTTTGGACTGGTGTCCCTGGCTCTGGGGGCTGGATGGGGAGCAAAGCCCCCTTTGAAGAAGTGCCATGTATGTTATTTTTTATATGCTTTATATATGTTAATATGTTTCTCTTTCCTTAAGCCTACTGTATGAATTTTATATGTATTTCTCTTGAATTTGGTATTCCCTTTCCTAATTTTAATATATTATCTTTATATACATTAAATAAATAAATAAGAAAAAAAAGGATTTAAGATATTTTTTAGGGGGCTGGGGATTGATTGAACCTAGGGTTTCATAAATGCTTGGCAAATACTCTACCATTGAACTACATCCCCAGCCCATAAAATTACATATAAAAGGTATAGAAAAGTGTGTAGGCACCCAATACTGACATTGTACTAAGCTATACAATTTTATTCCTAAAACATTATACATCTTAGATACTGTTGCCAAATTAATATTTGAATATCTTTTGCTATCACAGAGTGAAAACTGAGAAGGTGTAGGCAACATAATAATTACATTGATGCTTTTAACAAGTCATGTACAATATTTTAAGTGTTGCTATTTAAAACTGAGATAGCTAACATTTATATTAATATCTGCTGTTTGGAAATAATGTTTCAATGCTAATGCTATGCATACTTTGCTAATTTAGAGCACATTAAGATTAATGATACAGCTATTTAATATGTATTGGTTAACTAGAATTTGAAAATACTTATTTTTTCGGAGTGGCCTTTGAGAAAGGTGCATTAACTTAATCCCCCTCATAAGGAATTAAGTAGTACTCAAACCTTAAGCTCAAACTGACTTTTGTCTCCCACTTATGCAAGTCCACTTCCAACCATCATTTCCCTCTGTCTCTCAAAATTCAAAACTGTCAGAGTTTTCTAAAAGGTTCAGAAGTTATGTGGAGTCTCTGAATGATCACAGCATTCTGCAAATCTGCTTCTTCCAGTGTGAGCGTCTCATCCAGAAGTCTGAGGAAAGGAAGAGCTGTTGCCAGGACAAAGGGGGGGCTTCTCTGAGATCCTTGGTATTTTTTAATGAAGTCTTTGATGTGGCTCACCCTGCAAAATACCATAAACTATTAATTTATGGAAACCTGAACTAGCTAATTTAAGGTAGCATCGACTTGTATAGATATTTGGATTTGTTAAAATAGAGAACAGAGAAAGTTTTATAGGATACAACTACTCATTTGTTTTTTAAAGCAGTACTGGGACTATAGTCCAGTGCCTAGTTAGTTTATATGGTACTGGAGATTGAACCCAGGCCTTGTGGATGCTAGGCAGGTACTTCACACCATGGGAGACAGCTATATCTTTGGGAACAAACCCAGAGACTCAGACATGCTTGCCAAGAACAACTACTACTCACCTGGAGTCCAAGTTCTAAGGTTACCTTTTAAGAGAGAGACAGAGAGAGAGGGAGGGAAGGAGAGAGAGAGAGTGCACTCTACCAACTGAGTTACATCTACAGCCTATAACCATTGCAGCTATTGAATGTGGATCAAAGTTAGTTCATCTTTGTGGGGTTGTGGGGGATTTTGTTTTTTTTTTTTTTTTTAAGACAGGGTTTCTCTGTGTTCTCTGAGGTCCATGTTCTTCATATATCAGCTGAGTCAGTGACGTAAACTTTTTTTGTACTTTTCAATGATGATAATTAAACCCAACATTTTGGCAAGCATTGAGATACACCTCCAAACTAATGTAAAATCTATTTTTTTCAAGACAGAATTTCATGTAGCTCTGGCCAGTCTCAAACCTGCTATGTAGTCAAGACTATCTTTGAACTTTTATGATCCTCCTGCCTCTACTTCCTAAGCCTGGGATACAGGAAATCCTATATTAAAAACAAAACAAGTAAAAACTGTAGAAAAGACTAGGGAAAAAATGCCTGGAATCCAGAGAAAGTTCAAGGCCTGCCTAGCAACTTGGTGAGAAATGTGTCAAAGTTAATGCAAAGTAAAAAACAGACAGTTCAGTGATAGAATACTGGCCTAAAAAATACCAACCAACCAACCTACACTAAAGAAAAAAATGCAAACTTCAAATGCTGTAATAGTGGGTGAAAACACCTGCTGCCAAAGCAGATAACCTGAGTTAAACCCCCAGGACTCACATGACAGAAAGAGAATAGATTCTGACATACACCCCCCCCCCCACCCAGGCACAGCACTTGTGTGCTCCCGACCTAACCACCTACACATACAAGATACATACATACATACATACATAGAATGTAAAATAGCAGAATGAATATTAAGTCCAGTCTGGTCTATGTAATAAGAGTTCTAGGCCAGCTAGGGTCACATAGTAGGTTTTTGTTCAGTCTCAAAACAAAAACAAACAAAAGAACAACAACCAAAAAAACCCAATAGCAAAAACAAAAAAACAAAAATCTGTTCAGGAACATACAATAACAAATGTATGTTTGTGTGCACAGGCATACACACAAAGAATAAAAAATTTTAAGTAAAAAGAAACAAAAGAGTTGGTTGTTGGTGTTGCACGCCTTTAATACCAGCACTCAGGGCAGGCAATTTCTGAGTTCAAGGCCAGACTGGTCTATAATGAGAGTTCAAGGATGGCCAAGACAGGACTGTTACAAAGAAAAACCCTGTCTCAAACAAACAAACAAAACAAAAAAACACTAAAAATAAACAACAAAAACAACAGAATGGAGAGTATAGAGCAGGTGCAGGCATCTGAATTAAAATGGATGGATACCACAGTGTTTCAAGTGACCACAGTTTAATAAATCCCAAAGTGATAAAGAGGCCATAGCAGAGGAGGGGAGGTGACTAAGTTTTAGATGCTGAGAGCCACGTTTAAAATACCTCAGGCTAATTACTGTTCATTTTGGGGAAGGAACTTGTTTTCACAGGGTATATTAATTGGATTGTACTTGGAGGACAGTATCATTCCTGCTGTTAATAAAATTTGTTTTACATTGAAGTTTTTTTTTTTCTTTAGTGGAGAGATAATAGTTCTTTTTGTGAAATTTTAGTATTGAGGTCTTAGAGTGTGAATACCTTTTTAACTACTGGAAGCCCTTAACCTGTTATATTTCCTTTATTTTGAAAATGGTTGGTTGCTTTCTATTAAGATGGTTTGTGGTATTTTCAGTAATCATAGTTCATCTAAACACAGCTTATTTTCTTGACCATTGAAGTTTGTAACCTAAAGGTAGAACCCCACTTTATCAAGGAGCTAGCACAGTCTTTCCCTCTCTCTCTCCCTCCCTCCCTTCCTTAGGAAGTAGCTGTTGCCAAAGTGATTGGGTAGCTGGTGGCTCTTGTATAATGGGATGTGCTTTGTAGATGGACACTGGGGATCAGTGTTCATGATGACATTTGGTTGCTCCCCAAATGGTTCTATCCCATTCCAGAAGTTTGAAATGTGTAATTTGAAATCCTTAATAAAATTGGATCTATTTTTATTAAAAAAAAAATGGATACCATGGGGGAAGAGGATAAGACAGATGAACAAACAGAACACAGCCAGTAGAGGATAATACTGAGTTAACACAAGTGCACTCATACTCAAAGGAGGCTGACTGCCACAGTGTCTCTACCTTTGCTATGAGGAGAGGACCAGCTCCTTTGATGGTTTAAGTAAGTGGGAGACAGAAGGGACAGACCCAGAGTCAGTGACCTGGAAATGAGCCCAGGTGAGACCCACAAAGCCACACCAGGAAACACAGAAAGAGACTGTGAAACAAGAGTTGCACTTTTTCTGACTATAAATACAATTATAGTGAACTTGCTCTGTAGCGCTTTCCTTTCCTTTTCTCTCTCTCTCTCTTTTTTTTTTTTTTTTGAAATGGGGTCTCACTGTGTAGCCTTAGCTGGCCTGGCCTGGAACTCACTATGTGGACCAGGCTGGCCTAACTCAGAGATCCACTGCTTCTGTCTCCCAAACCCTGACATGAAGGGCCTATACCACCCCCTGCCCTGTTCTATAATTTTTTAAAACTCAGTACCATGTTTTGTGAGGTTTTGTGACTATACTGTGGAGCAGAAGACTGACACAGCTGCAGAAATAAACTTAAACTTGGACTGTTGCCAATGAATAAAATGGATAAACAATTATGTATGGTAGAATATGGTAGACAAAAATTGGGCTGGGCTGTAGTCTACTGATAGGTATATATGCCTAATGAATGTGAGGCAATAAAAAAAATAGAGAGAGAATGAACTAACTACAGTACAGAAGACACCCCAATAAACATGATACTAAGTTTAAAAACTCTAAAACAAAGCAAAAAATACCCCAGACTAAACATAGTTGAGTCTAAGAATCCTATGTTGATTGACACATTAAACTTAGAGAGCTATTTATTTTAAAAAGCCTTCATTAGTTCTCAAAAAAATCAGTGTTATCTAAACCTAAAAGAAGAGATGAAATTTAGAATTGGAAAGCAAATCAGTCAAGCACAGAAACAGGACTGACCTATGAGAAATGTTAAATCTTTGGACAGTCCTTTCCCCATTGGCCAACCAGATCTGGATCCTGGTGATGGGCTCCAGGTTGTTCAGTGGAACAGCAGACAAAGTACTTTTATTTTCAACTTCGATACTCTTTGCTTTAGAAACGATTTTTGGTGTAGCACTAAGAAAATTGGAACAATAAATTCAGATACATGTTTCCTCATTTCTAGGAAGAATTTTAGACAGTCACAACTACTCCCTCAGTAATAAATGTTAGTTATGTTCACAACAAATATGTTCTAGGAATTAAATGAAATTATGTACACCCAATTAATCTGTAAACTTACAGAATGACATGTAAATTAGTATTACCTGGGATACTGGATGAATCTCTAAAAGAAATTACTTTCTCTGTAGAGGTTAGCTCTGAGTAATCAAGGGGAAAAAAGCAAAGTATTTTGAAAGGTATATCTAAAAGTTTCCATATGTAAAACTGAAAGTGTACACACCTTCCCACTACTAATAAATGCAAATAAGGGACTGGGTATATAGTTTAGTTGGTAAAATGTTTGCTTAGCATACACAAATCCTTGGTCCAATCTGCATGAGGGCCATAATTTCAAAGCCACCCTTAGACATATAAAAACATATAAAGAACCTGCCTAAAATAAAGCAAACCAAAACCAAATCAACCTTAAAAAAAAAAAAAAAAATCTCATTTGGGAGCTGGGAATTTATTTCAGTAGTAACCTTTTGCCTTACATGTTTTATGGTCCCTATGTTGGAGTCCCAGCATCAGAAAGAAAATAATCACTTCCTGCAGGAGTTCTGTACGGTCAGAATAAGAAAATGTCACAATAATCATACTCACCTTCCTAGTCTGTGGCCCGGTCCTGAGAAGGGCTGGAACACCGGCTTTGTAGACATACACACTTCATTTTTCTTATCTTCAACTTTGACATCCACCTCTTCTTTATCAAAAACTCCCTGTAATTCTGAAGGTAATTCCCTTTGAAAGAAAATGATAAAGTTCTTGTTTTCCTTTTTTCTGAGATACACATTCCGGCTGCCAAAAGATTTCTATATGTAGAAGTATAACATATGGGTTAAGGAGGTGGTTTGGCTGTCAGGGGCACTTCCCTGGCATGTGCAGGACTTTAGTCTAATTTTTAGCAGCATATAAGCAAGCCATGGTGGTACTTGATTACATGCTGCTACTTTTTTTGTTGTTGTTTTGTTTTTCTTTTTTCTTTCCAGACAGTGTTCCTCTGTGTAGCTTTGGAGCCTGTCCTGGGGAGGTGTTGGGGGAAAGAAAGATAAAGATAAATTTAAACTAGATATGGTAGTTTATACCTTGGATTTCAAGGCTAGCTGAGACTAAATGAGCCTGCTATTTAAAGATTTTACCTATGTTTATGCGTGTAAGTGTATGCATGTGAAGGCAGATGCCCTTGGATGACAAAAGAGGCCCCCAAACTGAAGCAGCAGAGACTCTTGAACCATCTCCCCAGCTCTGGCTGTTATTTCAAACAAACAAACAAACAAACAAACAAACAAACAAACAAACAACCCAACTCCCCTGCCCACCCCCTAGCCCAGGGAAGAGATGTAAATTCACAGAAGAGACAGTATATGTCTATGAAGGTGTCAAGGGGCACAATCACCATTACAAATGATCCTTTCGTATGAAGCGTTCTTGAAGTTCACTTCTACCATACCCTGCTTACCCCTTTTTGATGGAGTTCAGAAACTGCTGACTTGCACCATCAGAGTAACTTCTAAAGTCATCATTGACTGTGAAACCGTTTTTCCACAATTTTATATTTACATCTACCTACAAGGCAGCGAAGAAAGGAATGAACTGTAAGAAAGGCTGAGCTTGAGCTCACTAAATAGCCTAGGCTGGCCTTGAACTCCAGATCGTCCTACCTGAGCCCAAGTTCTGAGTTCACAGGCTTACCTGTACCATCACACCCAGCTCATGAATGATTTTGTAATAACATATATATTAGTCATTTGGAAAATAGTGGTCCCCTAAGCCATGAAAATCTAAATGCTAATATATTTCCTTATGTGACAGACATAATTATTAAAAGAAGACTAACATCATGAGGAAATTCTAGTTTGAAAAGCTGACAAGTGCATGAAAGAGATTTCTCCAAATTCCTATTCTGGTTGAAAGTTGACTAAAATCTTTGCATTTGTAACAAATACAGTTTGTGAGTTGTCTCCCTTGAAGTACCAGGCCCATTTAATTATTCTGTGAAAATGCCTGCCAAAACAGCCAAGTCTAATGGGTACACATGTGTGTGTGCCACATGTAGAGGCCAGAAGTTGATGTTAATGTCTTCTTTAATTGTTATCTTATATCAATAAAGAGGGGCTGGAGAGTTGACTGAGCAGTTAAAAGCACTGGCTGCTTTTTCACAAGACCCAGGTTCAGTTCCCAATACCCACATGGCCATTTGCAACTGACACCGTCACACCAATGTACATAAAGTAAAGTTAAATAAATTATCTTTAAAAAAAAAAAAAAAAAAAAGACAGTTAGGCAGTTAGGAGTACTGTTGCTGGTTTGGTTCCTGGTACCTGATCCACTAACATCTGTAACTCTAGCTCCAGGAGAAGTGATGCTCTCTGTGGGCAGCCAGCACACACATGGTACATATGTGTGCGTGTGCGTGTGTGTACATTCAGACAAAACACTCAAAAACATAAAATAAGGAAATGGGCTACATTTTCAGGTCTTTATTTATTTTTTAAATTATGATTTATTAGAGTTTATAAATGGTACTATTATGATTGAAATAGCTTTAAAAAAATAAAAGACACAAACCATATATGGGCATGCAGTTACAAAGGTATAATAAAAAAACGTTTCCAAAGCTGGACAGTGGTGGTACACACCTTTAAGCCCAGCACTGGGGAGGCCGAGGAAAGTCTGAGGCCAGCCTGGTCTACATAAGAGGTCCAAGAAAACCGAAGCTACACAAAAAAAACCTGTGTGACACAAACAAACAAAAAACAAGTTTCCTAGATGGCTTAGTCACTTCTCTCCTACCATGTGGGTTTCAGATTGAGTGCAACAGGTGTGCTTCTCAGTGAGTCAGCCATCACAACTCCACATTTTATTTTTTTTTAATTTAATTTTATTTTATATGCATTAGTGTGAGGCTGTTTGGATCCCCTGGAACTGGAGTTACAGAAAGTTGTGAGCTGCCATGTGGGTGCTGGGAATTGAACCCTAGTCCTCTGGAAGAGCTGTCAGTGTTCTTAACTGCTAGGCCATTGCTCCAGCTCATCCCCATTTTATTTTTTGAGACAGGATCTCTACTAGAACCTGGAGTTCACCAATTCAGCTAGACTGGCTATCCACCAAGCTGGGAGTCCCAATCCACTTTCTCACACTTAGAGTGCTTGCCATGTAAAACTTGACAGCCATCACCTTGGCTTCCTTCCATCCTGAATATTCCAGCCTTGACCTAATTAGGTGGCTGAGGACAACTTTGGACTCCAGTTGTCCTGACTTTCCATCTCTGGAGTGTCGAGGTTACACATGCATCTCATCATGCCCAGTTTATGAAGTGCTGGATTGTATGCAGAGCTTTGTGTCTGTTATGTAAGCATTCTACCAGCTGAGCCAACTCCTCAGCCCCATCACAGACATTCTTAACTGGAAGCAACATTTATTTGGTTTGTAAATTCAAGTAAGCAACACAACTGTTGATAACTCGGTTGTGACTGCTATGATTTCTGCTCAGATACCAACAGCTTTACCCATTGTTGCTTTTCTGACACCTGTGTAAATTCAACATAATGAAAATGGTAAATAATAGCTTTACTATTATAAAAGTAGTTTTGACTTCAGGGATCCTCCTAGAGGCCAATAAGGAACATTTACCTGTTTCTTCTGTTCAGTTGGGGACAAACATTTGGCCCCAACCTTCTCTGCTTCCTCAAATAGGCTGTCAACAAAATAGTCACAATCCCTTTGTTGATTATCATTGAGGGGTTGATTGTCAGGAGGTCCTGTTTCACAAACCCTAAAAACAAAATAAGATAAAATTAAAATAAAATACAAATCAAGTGCTGTAACCTCTAAGTTAATAAAGAAGTAATCCTGGGTAAGTCATTAAACACGTTTTAATATAGACCAGTTCTATAGACACTTGGGGTAGGCTAGCTTTTTGCTGTGAGGGTTATCTGTTAACCATTCAAAGATATGTTTGATTAAATAAAATTAACCTTTGAGCAGGCAGCTGAGTCAGCACGTAGCTGACAGGAAGTGGTAAGGAGTTATCACTTCTAGCAAGGGTTTTTAAGTGGGGGTGGAGAGAAGACTCCAGCACAGGGAGAAGGTTAGCTACTTGCTATTCAGCCTCTCTGAGCCAGCAGAATTCCACTTCAAACATTGAATTGTGAGTTCTTTAGATTAGGTAAAGTTTAGGTGCCTGAGAGAACAGAATCCCCTCAGGCTGTGGCCCTTGCAGGAAAGCCATTGCTTAATTACAAGTATCTTTTGTATTTTAGGCTGTCTAGCAGGGCCCTTGACATTTATCCATACTGTATGAAGGCACAAATGATAACAAACCAGAGTTACACACATGGAAATGCCATAATAAACTCATTGCTTTGGAAATTAAAAAATTAATTTAAGAGCACCCAAACTAGATGTTCATTATTATATTATGTGCATGAGTATGCGTATAGGTGTACATGTATAGAAGCATTATGGAGGTCAGAGAAAAACTTGTGGGAATTACAGGAATTTGTTTACTCTTTCCACCATAGGTCTTGAAAATCAAACTAAGGTATCAAGCTTGACAACAAGGGAGCTATCTCACTTGCCCCAGAATTTTAAAAAGAATTTTTAAAGAGGTCAGTAGGAGGCTAAGAAGACGATTCCTATACATGGCAGCTCACAAGTATGGTAAATACAGTTCCAGAAGATCTGATGCTGTATTCTAGCCTCTTAAGGCATCTGCACTCAGATGCAATATTCTTACACAGACACATAATTAAATCTTTGAAAAACACATTTTAAAAAAGATCTCAGAGTATAACAGTTGTTTATTGATCTCCACTTAAAGTGCTAAAATAACTAAAAATATCTTTATAAATGCCAAATGTGTCTAACACTAGCCCAAAAGCACAAAAAATTACACTTTTTAATTCCAGCACTCCAGAGGCAAAGGAAGGAGGATCTCTCTGACAAGGCCAGCCTGGTCTACAGAGTGAGTTCCAGGACAGCCTGGGCTACACAGAGAAACCCTGTCTCAAAAAATTAAGACCAAAACCAGGAAAAAAAAAAAAAAAAAAAGAAAAATGTATTTAGGGCTCAGTAAATTGGCTTAGGTGGTAAAAGTACTTATTGTGTTCAGTCCCCAGATCCCACATAATCATGGAAGGAGAGAAATGACTCCACAAAGTTGTCCTCTGACTTTCACACACACATATGGAACACAGGCACACACAAACACATACACAATATAAGGTTAATGAGTTTTATCCAGATAGCAGTTTTTAAACTACAGTCACAGCCTGGCCTGGTGGTGGAAGCCTGTATCTCCAGCTACTTAGCAGACTGGGGGAGCTCTGTAAATTCAATGAACTTGTGGGCAACAGAGTGAGTTTAAGGTCAACTGGGGCAATTTAGTGCTGGCCTGTCACAAAAAGAGCTGGGAATACAGCTCAGTAGTAGGGTGCTTGCTTTGCATATGTGAGGCCCTAGGTTCAATCCCTACAAAGAAAGGAATGATAATAAAGAGAAAAGTAACCATGGTCATGAGAAGGGAAGGAAGGGCTCTAGGATACAAACCTGCATGACAACCAACAACCTATTCAATGAGTGTGACTACAGGTAAAAACTACAACAAACCACCACAATTTGCATAAGTAATCCTATAGAATTAGCTGCTTTACTATTTCTGCCAGTGAGATGCGAAAAAAACAAAACAAAAAACAAAAACAACAAAAAACAAAGGCTATTAACTCAATACTTGGGTTAACTTACCATTCTTCTTTTATACTGTCAAGGTTATCTACTTCTTTCATTCTCTTTCTGCTACTGCAAAAGTAAAAAGAAACAAAAGTTTAAAGTTCTCAACTATCATAAAAAAATTTATTCCTATGTATCAGTATTCTTTAACATGTAAGTTATCATGTAACCATTGATATAGTATTCAGGCATCTGTACTGGTCTGCCCTTGGGGTCCTGACAGGATATGTTCTTAGCTGTAGCCACTAAAAGAACTTCCTGTGCACATTCGCTACTTTTCCATAACAGGTGAGCCTTACCCACCTCCATCTCTCTCCTGACTGCTCCTGGCCTCTGTCCCGTCCCCAGGTAGCCTGCTACTACCTCCAGTGCTGGGATTAAAGGCATGTGCCACAACCTCCCGGCACTCTCCTGCCATTTTTATACAACAACCATAAAGTAGTTCTAAAAGGGTTTGAACAACTGCCCAAATTCACCAGGGTAATTTTCATCTAAAACAAAACAAAGAAATGCAGCAGCAATGTGTGATGCCACATGCCTGCAATCCTAATACCTGGGAAGCAGAGGCAGGATGAGTTCAAGGTCATCTCCAGCTATGTTGCTAAAAATGAGTTTGGGCCTCAGAAAGACCCTGTGGTTTTTTTTTGTTTTGTTTTTTTTGAAGTCTTTAACCTTCTCTCCAGGGAAGCAGGCAGGCCAATTTCTGTGAGTTCTCGGCCAGCTGGGGCCATGTAGTCAGACCTGGTCTAAAAACAAAATAAAAAGAGGAGGGGCTGGAGAGATGACAGTTGTTAAGAGATCTTATTGCTCTTGCAGAGGATTAGTTAGAACCCCAGCACCCACAGGGCAGCTCACAACTACTGGTATCTCCAGTTCAATTTATACCTGTACTGTGTGCGTCAACTTGACACAAGCTATAGAATCATCAAAGGAGCCTCAGCTGAGAAAATGCCTTGAGATCTAGCTGTAAGACATTTTCTCATTTAGTGGTCAATGGGGAAAGTGCCCAGGCCATGATGGGTGGTGTTCTTGGTTGCTGGTCTTGGGTTCTACTAGAAAGGGGGGTTGAGCAAGCCATAGGAAGCAAGCCAGTAAGCAGCACCCCTCCATGCTCTCTGTGTCAGCTCCAGGAACCTGCCCTGTTTGAATTCCTGTCTTGACTTCCTTCAGTGATGAACAACAATGCTGAAGTGTAAGTCAAATAAATAAATAAACCCTTTTCTCCCCAATTTGATTTCTGGTCATGGTGTTTTGTCATTAAAGCAATAGAAACCCTAACACACCATTCTCTCTGACTTCTGAGAGGGCATGTGGCACACACATGGTGTATAGACATTATTATTATTATTATTTTTCCAAGATAGGGTTTCTCTGTTTAGCTTTGGAGCCTGTCCTGGAACTAGCTCTTGTACACCAGGCTGGCCTCGAACTCACAGAGATCCACCTCCCTCTGCTTCCCAAGTGCTGGGATTAAAGGGGTGTGCCACCAACACCAGGCTTTAGACTTCTTGTGAACAAAACACTTACATTAAGAAAAAAGATCCCACAAATACAACACTAGTAATATTTTAAATGGTGATTTTGTTTTGAGTCCCCCTCTATTTTGCAAAGTGTCTTTTCTGTGTCTGCTGTATGTTTCCTCATCACCCAATAAACACCTTTCTTCAACTGCTAAAGTTAATACTTTAAAGTTTTTTTCTCCTTTTAGGTGTGTGCTTGTGTGCAAGTGTTCATGTAGTACACTCATGAGGGCAACATGTGAGGCCAATGTCAATGTAAGGTGACTTCCTGGATGTTTTCCCACCATATTTGTGTGTATGTGCAGATATGTGTGGGTGCATGTGGAAGTCAGCGGGCAGTTTCAGGAGTTTCCTCCTCACATGCTCCCCCTTGTTTTTTTCAGGGAGAGTGCCCCCTTGCAACTTGGGGTTTACTGGTTCAGCTACACTGGTAAGCCAGTGAACCCCAGAGATCCACCTGACTTTGCATCTGCAGTGCTGACATTATAGACACCCACCATTAACTTTTATGTGGAAGCTGGTGATCCAAATTCAGGTCCTCAGCTTGTCCAAGGAATGTACTTTATTGACTGAGCCATTCTGCAGCTTCCAAAGGTTTTTCTTTTTTTTTTTTTTTTTTTTTTTTTTTTTTTCTCTCCTGACACAAAGTTTCACTATGTAGGCTTGAACTGTCTAGAATGTTCCAAAGACCCTCATCCCCATTCCAGTCCTCACTCAAACCAGTTTCTACACTGCTATCAGAAGGGTGGAGTCAGAGAAGTTGACAGAGGAAGTAGGACATGTACAAAAATGAGGTAATAAGCAATGAGCCATTCGGTAGAACTTAGCTAAGAAATAAGGGCTAATTTAAATTGTAAAAGCTAGTTAATAACAAACCTAAGAGATTAGTCGAGCATTTAAATTAATATAAGTCTCAGTATTTGGGAGCTGCTGTCAGGACAGAAACTTCCGACTACATCTGATTTTTTGGACTTTCCTGCAGAAACCCCCTCGACCATTCCAACTGCTATTAGAATAAGGTCCAAATCCTTTGGGCACTATTACAGAGAACTAATATTGTTCTTTACATTTTTACCATAGCTGGACTTAATAGGTTTAATAAAAGTATGTTCCTTTAACTGTACCCTAGAGGTCTTTATTGTTATGATCATTACCACTACTAGATATTTGCCGGAATAGTCACATATAGTTAAAAATTATTATTTCTGCCAGTGACATGCAATAAAAGCAGGAAGATAACAACATAGGTATCAGGTCCAAGGGATACTGTATTTGCCCACACAAAAGGGCAGACCCACTGATGGAGTTCAAAATTGTGCCTAGGCCTTGTTATACCAGAACTATAGGAAGATTTCTGGAGGTTAGATAAAAAGACAGCATTTTTCAGGAACTTGTGAAACTGGTTCCCATCTATCAAAGTCATTTCCCTTACCTCTGGCAGGAAGGATATATGACTTCATTGACATGTATCTATGGCTGCACATCAAAGTCCACACAGACCTCCAGGCTCCCTCAGTCCCTATTCACAAGAACTTGTTATACCTTCCAAAGTCCAAGGTAAACCTCCCCAGGGTTCCCTCCTCTCAGATAACCCTTTGTTCTCTTTATATGGCAAGGACATCCCCCCTGCTTGGCTATTTCTCTTGCTCTCTAGCTACTTATTCTCCCTTCTCTTGTAGATAGCCCTGTCCATGTCCAATCTGTTTCTCTCTTATGCACAATAAAAACTTTCCCCTTAGCCATACCATAAGTTATTCCAGTGGTTTCTCTACTGTGCCTCCTTGAATACAGTAATAGTCATTAGCAAAAAAAAAAAAAAAAAAAAAAAAAAAAAAAAAAAGCATTGCTTGAATTAACTTGTTATTTTTTCTCTTTCTGTAAGTTTTGAAAAAAAAAAAAATTGTTCCCAAATCTGTAACATTACATAAAAAGGTGACATGATTTTGTTGGGTCCTGGAGTAGGGCAAATAATAGGGGGCAGACCACCAAAGTCAGATAACAGAAGCAAACTTTATTCCATCACATGGGGTACCAGAGCTTCTAATTAGTTAGGGCCACAAGCAGGTCCAAATCTGACACTGTAACCAAAAGAAGAGACTACTTTCTTTTTATAGCAAAAAACAAAAACAAAGAAACATACACAGGGTGGGGTGTCAAAGGAATCTTCACAATCTTGAGGTTATGCCTTGAGTAACTGTGCATTCTAGGGTTTACAACTTTTGATTACAGGGTGTTAGTTCAAGATGTTTATGAAAGTCTGTCTATCTTGACACAGCTGTGGCTCTGTCTTAATTCTTAACCATTGCTTTGCCCATAACTGGAAAAAACACACAGCAAAGGGTTATGAAGAAGTAACTGTTAACTTGCTTATTGGAGCTGTCAGCTCCAATATCTCTAGAATATAAGCATAGCTATATGAATAGGCATACAATTTTTCATATTCCTGGGCTCTTCAGTTTGTTTGGTCCTGATCTACTTCACTACCCAGTCCCTCCTGTATGCTCTCCATACTCCAGATGCTATGAGCTTTACATTGCTCCTCACCTTTATGGCATCTATTTTTCTTTTTGTGGACCTTTCCCTCTTTTAGAAGTCAACATCCACCTAATTTCTATTCATCAGTAAAATCTCAGCTCAAAACTTACTTTCCTACTGAAATTTTTTGTATTTTTCTCAGGCTGGCGGTAAATTCCTTAATAATACCTTCTCACAAATACCTTATATTTTATTTCTTCCTCTTAGCTTCTTGCTTGGTTTACTGGCATTTACTCCTGTGTTTTGACTAACTATATCATGTCACCTATAATTGTTGTCCTCATTTCCTTAGTACTTAGTCCTTTTGTTTCTTTATGAGACAGGGTCTTACTATAGATTGAGCTGGCCTCTGCATGGAACTCAGAGATCTGCCTGCCTCTGCTTTCTAAGTGCTGGGGTAAAAGTATGCACCACAAAGCCCAAATGTACATAATTTTTAAAAAGTGAGCTGGGTGATGGTGACCCATGACTTTAATCCCAATGCAGGATAAAGGCAGATGTAGGCTGGTCTACAGATCTAGTTCTAGGACAGCCAAAGAAACACAAAGAAACCCTGTCTGGGAAAACAAAACAAAGCAAAACAAAACAACAACAACAAAAAAAACAAGAACCTGAACAATTAAGGCATTAACAAATTCTCCCAAACATTATTGTAGAACTCTGAGCATAACAGCCATTACCACTTATATCAGATCTGTGACTACTTGAAAGAGACCTTAAAGATTAGGACTGTTGACATTCCCTCACAGAACAAGAGGGTGGGAAGGGTCATTAGATTCTTCCCAGAAATCACAAGTACCTCCTTCCCCCATTTCTCAGTCAGTTAAATATAATGCTGCCCAAGTTATACTTGATGGACTTCTGAGGTACTGGAATATATGGAGTGCAGAAGATTTGATGAAGAGAGGTAATGGGGTGTGTGTGGATGGTACCTCCTGCTTGCCGCTGCATGATTCAGAAAGTCCTGTCTCTCTCCAAAACTCCATCGCCCAGAGTCTCCAAACAAAGGAAATGCAGCAAAAAGCCCAGTCCAGATTTTTGGTGGAACTGCAGTTCCTCCCCTGAAGTTGCCAGCAGCCCATGTCCCTGCCTAAAGGGCTCAACTTTTGGCCATACAAACCCAGCTAGTGGCAGAATGTCATCACCCCTTGCCTACGACCTATTAAGTCTCCTTGCTTTCATTTGTAGGGTTGGCTTTTTGGCCCTCAAATCTCTGGGACTGGAGAACCTACCTGGGAGTTGCTTTGCTCAGTCAGATTAAACCTGTTATACTTTTTCAATTTTTCTTGATCTGGCTTACTTTGTAGGTGAAGAATCCTATTATGGGGTGGGGGTGGGGAGAGAGCAAAAACTTATTGGGGGAACTCCACCTAGGCAGCTATAAGGAAGTCATCATCTATGTTAGGGTAAGACTTCAGTGATTAAGCTGCTTTGGTGTCACCCATACGCCCATATGAGTGTGCCAAGTCTGTCAATGGTGCCACCTGGGGTGAGTGGACATTTGTGTGTTTCTCCCCAGTAAAGGTCACTTAAGGAGAGTATGCAAGCAGGACTGGGATGTAATTCACGGGTAATTTATGAAAAAACTTGGGCTTGCCAGGTGGTGGTGGTGAACACCTGTAATCCCAGCAGAGGCAGGCGGATCTCTGAGTTTGAGGCTAGCCTGGACTACAGAGTGAGTTCCAGGACAGCCAGGGTTAGACAGTGAAACCCTGTCTCAAAAAAACCAAAAACCCATTTGGGCTTGATCCCCAAACAGTGGATAATGAAGGTAATACTCAAAGAGGCTGGAGAGATAGTTCACTGAGAGCAGTGGCTGCTCTTCCAGAATACCTGGGTCAAATCCTAGCACCCACACAGTGGCTCACAGCCATCTGTAACTCCAGTTCTACAAGGATATTAGGCCACTTCTGGCTTCCACAGGTACCAGGCACAAAAACGGTGCAGACATGCATGTAGACAAGACACTTGTGCACATGAAACAAATGACATTGTTTAAGAGTAGATGCTCAGGTAGTAACTGCTACCACCTACAGTATCCTCTTAGCATTATGTAATCAACCTCTCCTGTCCACCTGAACACAATTCTGACTTTTGCATTTCACAATTACCTACCACTAACATCAATGTTATCATGAAAGACCAAAAAAAAAAAAAAAAAAAAAAAAAAAAAAAATGAAGGACAGTCTGACCTGGAAAGCTAACCAATAACAGTTCCTTGGAATTTGCTAACTTCCTCTCACAAGGCCCTCAGATAACAAGAATTCACACTGCCCCTCCTTTCCTGTGAGTCAGCAGGTGGTGAATAGGGTCCTTAGGATAGCTGTAACTCTGGTTTGCCCAGACAAGATTAATTAGCACACCCTGAGGCCCTAAGGTCCGTTGACCCTAATAGCAGACCATCCTGCCTCCAAGGGTCACGTACTCAATGGACAGAGGGTCCCACCCCCTCCCTAAGCTTGTGGTTTTGCCTTTAAAAACACCTGGGGGGGGGGGCTTCTCTCTAGCCTGTGTGCTGGAGGAGCCCGTTTGCGCAAATGTTTCCTGTTCATTAAAGCCTCTTGCGTGTTGCAGCAACTGGACTGGAAATTGAGTTCTTGGGGTATCGACCAAAACTGGGAGACTCCTCATTCTGAGGGTCTTACAGTCACACCAGAATTCCCTGAATTAATATCAACACAACTCAGGAGATCACTCACACTTGCAATACCAGCACTTGGGAAGCTGAAGCAGAGAAATGTCTGTGTCTGTGTTTGAGGCCACAAAGGAATACTTTAGAAAGTTCTAGGCCAGCCAAGGCTACATATATCCTGTCCCTAGGAAGAAAAAAGGCAGTTATGGTGGTGCATACCTTTAATACCAACACATGGAATGCAGAAGCTGACAGATATCTGAGTTCCCTGCCATCCAAGACTCCTTAGTGAGACCTTGAACTCAGGAATCCACCTGCCTCTCCTCTAGCCTCCCCAGTGCTGGGATAAAAGGCATGCACCACCATAGCAGGACGGGTCAAGGAGACTCTGTTTCAACAACAACCGCATCAACACAGATCATCAGTCCTCTATTTTTTCATTTCAAACTACATACAAACGAACCAACACTGCAGACCACTCTAACCACCTTTGCAGATAAGTAATAAACTTGTTGTACTACGAGTAAAAAAAAAAAAAAAAAAAAAAAAAAAAGGTGGGGGAGGATGCAAGAGAATTAAAAAATAAAAATCAATTAGGAAAACAGCGAACATCAGATTTCCAGAATATCCAAGTGAGCTAGGCAAGGCGGGAGAAGTCAATTACAAAATGTCCAGTGAACAAGTCCTGTATTTCTGAAGTGCGCTCTGGACAGCGTTCGTTCGCCTTTGGAAATGGAGACGTCTTCGACAGCATCTAACTCCAAGTTTCTGGGCGCCTTCAGAGAGATGGGGGGGGGGGGGGAGAAGAAGGACGTGCTTCCACTGGCTCCCGAGACTCCCAGAGCGGGGGAGCCGCAGGTCCGCACTCACCTGGGCCGGGGTGGAGGCCTCTTGCCAGCCAGCGTCCTTCCCCGGCCCCGGTCGCGCGGTTCGGAAGCCCCGGGTGCCGACTCACTGCGGCCCAGACTCAGGCGACAAGCCCGGAGCGCCTCTGGGGAAACGCCTGCCCGCCCGGAGCCGGCCGAACGCCGCGGAGCCCTGAGACTTACCTCAGGGCGCGGCCCCGCGGCCCAGTCCTCGGTCCGCTAGGGTCTGCAAGTGCCGCCGCCGCCGCCCGGCCGGAGCCCCTCAGGCCGGGAGCGTCGGGGGACCCTCTTTAGGGACCAGCGGCCGCGCCGCGGAGATACCGTCCGCCTCCCTCAGTCCGCCCGACGCGCCCCGGGGACGCGCCCGTCTGGCGGGAGCGCGCTTGGATGCCGGGAGCGCGCCCGGCTAGCGGGAGCGTGCTCGGATGCCGAGAGCGCGCTCGGCTAGCGGGGGCGGGGCTTCCTGTGGCGGGTCTGCTCAGGCCTCGACTCGGCGCGCACTAATGGCGGCGGCGTGTTCCTTGCCACCAGCCCTGCTGCTTGTTGCCTCCTTAGGAGGCGCGGAAAATGCCAGGAGCTAGGTGGGCGTTCACCTGAGAAAATCCATCGTCGACCTATTTCTTTCTGTGCCTCTTCCCTTCCTCGGAGAGATTTCCCTGCTTCCTTGTCAATGAACTTCGCCCGAGCCCTGTTTTCTGAAGAGTGACAGTTAAAAGAAACTCCCTTACTCTGCGTTCTTGAAAGGGCTCACCACAAAGATCATCCCTGTAGGATTTACTTATTTGTGTTTTATATTCATTTGTTTTGTTTTTTCGAGGCAGAGTTTTTCTGTGTAGCCCTGGCTGTCCTGGAACTCGCTCTTCACCACCAGGCTGGCCTCGAACTCACAGAGATCTTCCTGCCTCTGCCCCAGGAGTCGACTTTCTATAAGATTTAGATAAGACTTCAGGACGCCCCTTTGTTTATTCAAGACACAGCCAAGGTGTATAGATTCCTGATCTCTATAAATGATTAGCAGAACTGCTTGTAATCATTATGTGGTCAAAAACCCAGCTGCCCTGATGTCACTACACTTTAGTGAAGCATATTTCGTTTCTGATTCCCAAATTTTGGCACACCCCCAGCTTGAACCAGGAAGCACCACACACACACCTTTTTTATTTTATTTTTTCTTTTTTGCTACTCCAGAAAGTATGTTGATCTTGGAATAAACAAAACTCTTATGTCCTGTCTGGTCCACTGTCTACTGTTGGTTGGTCCCATTTTCCTACACCCAGGTACTTCTGGCTTTATTTAATCTTCTCAATACAAGAAAAGCACCCCCCTACCCCCAAGAAAAAAAGAAAAGAAGAGCCCTTATCTGTCTAATCTAGGAACAGGTTATAGATCTCTTAGATTTCCCTGTATACAATAGTCTCCTTTTTAAGACAGTCTTTCCAGGTGTCCTGGAACTCACCGTGTAGACCAGTCTGGATGTACCTGCCTCAGTCTCCAGAGTGCTACGATTAAAGATGTGTGCCACTACACCGGCTACAACAGTCTCTTAAATCAAAATCTAGAGTTGTGGTTGGAAAGAACCATAGCTTTTTACATACTAGACAAGGCCTGTCTCTACCACTAAGCTACACTCCCATCTATCTTAGATTTGGTTTTTATCTAACATTTGCACATTCGCCCTATGACAATAGTATTTCTCATTGCACTGAGACACCCCTTACCCTATCCAATGCAATAATCTTTCTACATAGAATCTAGATTTACCTAAACTGGGATTTGCTTTTTATTTGACAGTTGTTAGTGCCTGGAGTCAGCTTGAGATTGGGCCTCCCTTACCAACCATTCCCCACCCAGGTAAAAACAATTTGGGATTCTTCCGAAGACCTACTGAGTGGCGCCTCAGGGATCCTGTGGTGAGTTTAGCTCTCAAACAGTGCTCTTGCTTTCCTATCTGTTGAGTTACTTTTGCTGCTGGCAGTGAATGATGCATGTCCACATAATCATGTAGAATATATATATATATATATATATATATATATATATATATAGTGTATAACATATATTGTTAGTCTAGTGCATTTTCTATAGCAATTTTACAGCCATATATATATATTTGTGTGTGTGCTGTATTTTCTTGGATTTTTAAAAAATTTTATGTGGCTGGGCGGTGGTGGTGCATGCCTGTAATCCCAGCACTTGGGAGGCAGAGGCAGATGAATCTCTGAGTTCGAGGCCAGGCTAATATAAAGAGTGAGTTCCAGGACAGCCAGGACTATTACACAGAGAAACTCTGTCTGGAAAAAACAAAAACAAAAAACAAAACAAACAAACAAACAAACAAAAAGGCCAAACAAAATTTGATGTGTAATTTTATGGGTGTTTGCCTGCTTCTATGTCTTAATACTGGTATCTCAAGACCCTCCTGTCTTAAATCTATCAAATTTTAGGATTATAGACATGCATCATCCTGCCCAGACCTTTGTGTGTGTGTGTGTGTGTGTGTGTGTGTGTGTGTGTGTGTGTATTTTGTTTGTTTTTTCTTTATCCTTTTATAAGGCTCTTCTAATATTTTGTCTTTAGTCCTTAGTTGTATTATAGAGTTAGCTCTGATATCATTTGAAAAGATTCTTTCCCATGTTAAAAGTCAATTTACTAGGTGTGATGCATGTGCTTGTATGACTAGCACTAGGGAGGATGTAGAACAATGTAAATTTAAGTCTTGTCTCCATCTTGAGACCCTGTCTTAACCAACAAAATAAACTGACTGTAGCTCTATAGGTTTATTTCTATATATTTTTTTCTTTCTGTTTTAGGGTTTCATTTAGCAAAAGCTGGCCTTGATGTTGATTTAGTCTTCCTGCCTTTATGTCCTCAGTATTGGCATTCTAGGTGCTGCCACACCAGGTTTATGGAGTGCTCTCCATCAAATCTAGACTTGCTAGGCACTCCAGCACTTAGGCATATCTCGGAACGCTGATGTGTTTTTCCCCACTATTAGGTGATGTTTAAAACAGGTCAGGCTTGCCTTGTAATCAAGACTGATCTTAGATTCCTTATTCTTATTGCTTCTACTGTCCAAGAGTAGAGGCTTGTAGGCATGTGCCATTACTTGTGACTGGTAGGGTTTGAATTCAGGAAATGTTGAGTCCTTCAGCTTTGTTCTTCTGTTAGGGTTGTTTTTGCTAAAATCCATGCAAATTTTAAGATTAGGTTTTGTATTTCTTTTAAAAATATCTCAGCTCATTGTACAATTTTGCCAGTACCATTTACTTCAGAAAATTTTATTTCCTTGTTGAATAGCTTTGGGGAAAATTTTCACTTGTCATTGTGTATAATTTTTTCATTAAACTGCTAGATTTGTTTAGTTAGTGTTTTGTTTTGTTTAAGAATTTTGCTTTAAGATGGGTGGTGTCAGAGGCACATGCCTTTAATACCATCAGTCAAGAGACAAGAGGCAGGTATATCTCTGTGAGTTCAAGGTCAGCCTGGTCTACAGAGCAAGTTCCAGGACAGCCAGGGCTACACAGAGAAACCTGTTCTCAGAAGACAAAAATCAAACAACTAACCAGGTCTGTTTAGATTTTTAATATTCTTTTTAGTCAGCTTTGGAGGTTTGTGTATTTCATTGATTCGTTCATCTGTTGTGTGTTTTTGTATAGTTATGTCATTTTTGTTTTGAGACTGGATCTCATACAGGTTCTCATACAGGCTCCAAAGCTATATAGAAACCTTTCTCTGGAAAAACAACAAAAAAATCTTATGTTCATAAAATTTTTGAGTTAAAAGAACTGACAGCTTTATGTATGTCTCTAATAAATTTAAAGTAAATATTTATACATGAGATAGCAGTAAAGAGTTTTTGTATTCATAAAGGTATATCCAATTGTCCTAACATCACTTATTAGAAGAGTATTTTTTCATAGCTACCATGGCAGCACATGCCTGGTATCCCAGTTGCCAAGGAGACTGAAATAGCAAAATTACAAATTTGTACATAGGCTAGCCTAGGCAATTTATCCAGATCTTGTCTGGACAGAAAATACAAAATACATGGCTAGGAGTGAAGTTCAGTGCTGGCACACTTATCTAGAATGCTTGTCTTCTTTAAAAAAAAAAAAAAAAAAAAAAGGATAGTGGCTGGGCATTGGTGGTGCACGACTTTAATGCCAGCACTAGGGAGGCAGAGGCAGGCAAATCTCTGTGATTTCGAGGCCAGCCTGGTCTACAGAACTAGTTCCAGAACAGGCTCCAAAGTAATACAGAGAAACCCTGCCTCGAAAAAAAAAAAAAAAACAACAAAAGCAAAAAACAACCCCCCCTAAAAACAAACAAACAAAAAAACAGGGTCTGGCAATGTAGTCCAGGCTGACCTTCATCTTGCTGCATAGTCCAAGTTAGACTTGAAATTGTCTTGGCTAGCTTCCTGAGTGCTGGGATTATATACCAGTGTCACTGTATACAGACAGTTCTTTTTTCTTTTTATTGCTCTGTTTTGACACTGTCTTATATGTATATAGTTTTAAACAAAGTTTAAAAATTACTTGGCATTTTTTTTTTCCTCTTGTAGAGACTGTGTCCTATGTTCTCCAAGCTTTTCTTTGTCCAAAATGTGTTTCCCTCATTTTGTGGTTCAAGATGCATTTCTAGAAGCCTTCCTTAAATCCTTGTTCATGTAGGAGCCCTTGTCTCTTACCACATTTGCATTGCAGTTTACTGGTTTCTTGTCCTTTGGTCACTGAGCTCTCTTGAGAACCAAAAATATAACCTGTCTTTTCAGACAGAGTCTAACTCTGTATCTCTGGCTGTTCTGGAATTCACTCTGTAGACTAGGCTTGAACTCATGTAGCTCCCCTGTCTCTGCCTCCCAAGTGTTTTTTTTTTTTTTTTTTTCTGGAATTCAAATATCTGTGCACAGATATTCTATTGTGAGGCTGAACGAAGCTTATTAATTTTTCTGGCTGGGGACTTACATGGCTAAAATTCTGTTGCTATTTTTTTTTTTACATGAATTTGTTCACTCTTCAATTTTTCAGTGTAATAACCAGGGGAATTTCTGCCCAAATAAAGAGTATCTATCACTGATAAATGTTTTGAAATGGGCACTCATTGTTCTCTCCATAACATCAGCTCTTGCTATATTATGTGTACTTTAATCATCCCCCCCCCAAATGTTTTAATTCTGCCCTCGGGTGGGGTGGTGATAAACCAGGCTGCTAAAATCACTCAGGTAGATCTGAGATCTGGCTAAGGTCAAAGGAAGCAACACAGCTTCTCTATGCTTAACTCCATTAACCCCTT